TTTTCCCAAATGAAGCAGAGAGTGTTTGAGGACCGGGACATCCGTAGGGATACCAAGGTGCTTGTTTATAAAGCTATTGTCCTCCCAACCCTGCTATATGCCTGCGAAATGTGGACTGTCTACAGACATCACATGCAACTCCTGGAACGATTCCATCAGCGCTGCCTCCGGAAAATCCTGCAAACCTCTTGGGAAGACAGGCAGACAGACATCAGCGTGCTGGAAGAAGCAAAGACCACCAGCACTGAAGCAATGGTCCTCCATCATCAACTCGGCTGAACCGGCCATGTTGTCCGGATGCCCGATCACAGTCTCCCAAAGTAGTTGCTCTACTCCAAACTCAAGAATGGAAAACGGAATGTTGGAGGACAGGAAAACAGAGAGAAATGTGCCAATAGGAAGGCCCATCAAGCCAACCCCAACCGGGACCATCTTCCACCTGGAAACCAATGTCTCACTGCGGTTTGTAATATAGCTAGTAATATAGCTCTGTATATTTGAAGGGCTACTGAATGAGGCAGCAGCTTCGCATGCTTGTGGTGGATTTTGGGGGTTTTTTTCCTTGACATGCAGGTCAAGAATAGGGCTCCAAAATCACCGCTAGGACAACGGAGCTGTTTCAGGTTGTCAGGGAACTCCTTCACCCACCTGTGGTGGAGGAGACTTTCGATGACTCAACAGCTCGGTGTCGTGAGTTCACACACCACTTTGTAGGCAAAGTTGCTCAGATACGCCTTGAGCTGGACTCCAATTTCATCACAGTGCCAGGGGAGGTGACTGAGGCATCTGCTTGTCCAACTTTGTGGGATTCTTTTAGGCTTGTTCACTCTGAGGACGTGGAGGAGGTCCTTGGTGCTGTGAGGGCGACCATGTCGGCTTTAGACCCTTGCCCGTCTTGGCTAATTAAATCAGCCAGGGAGGGGTTGACTGATTGGTTTGTGTTGATCATTAATGCATCATTGGAGCAGGGGGTTTTTCCATTCCAACTAAAATAGGCTGTGGTTCGACCACTTCTTAAAAAGGTCTCCCTTGACTCCATGGTGCTGAACAATTACAGACAATTACAATTCCCTTTTCTGGGTAAGGTGCTGGAGCGGGTGGTCGCTTCCCAGCTCCAGGGTTTTCTAGATGACATCAACTACCTGGACCAGTCACAGTCTGGTTTCAGGCCTGGCCATGGCACCGAGACGGCTTTGGTCGCCTTGGTGGATGACCTCCGTAGAGAGCTGGACAGGGGGAGTGTGACTCTGCTGGTTCTCTTGGACATCTCAGCGGCTTTCGATACAATCGATCATGGTATCCTTCTGGGATGACTCTCTGGGATGGGTCTCGGGCGCACGGTTCTGTCATGGCTCCGGTCCTTCCTGTAGGGTCAATCCGAGTTGGTGAAGCTGGGAGACGCCTGCTCGGACCCCTGGCCTTTGACCTGTGGGGTCCCGCAATGCTCTATTCTGTCTCCTATGCTTTTCAACATCTACATGAAACCGCTGGGAGAGGTCATCCGGAGTTTTGGAGTTGGGTGTCATCTCTATGCAGATGACACACAACTCTACTACTCCTTTCCACCTAATTCCAAGGAAGCCCCTCGGGTGCTGGACGAGTGCCTGGCCACTGACTGGATGAAGATGAACAAGCTGAAGATCAATCCCAACAAGACAGAGGTCCTCCTGGTCGATCGTAAACCTGATCGGGGTATAGGGTGGCAACCTGTGCTGGACGGGGTTACACTCCCTGTGATGGCGCAAGTGGCGCCACCTATGTATAGAACTGTTAGTTGTTAGACTTAAACTGTTGTATCATGATTAATCCTGCCCCCTTTTTACATTGTTTGTGTACAGTTGTATGGATTGGTTGCTTGTAGCTGTCAATCAGTACTGTTTGGCTCCACCTCTTCCTGTAAGAGGGGAGAACTTCCTTTTCTTTTCATTCTGCCTTCAGAGATCATACCACATGGACGTGAGTAAAAGACTTCATTCTTAAGGACCCTGATTCAAATTACCTCTTAGCACCAGTTCTGAGGTTTTTTACCCCTGGGACTCATGCTTTATGTCCAGATCGTCCTGGACAATTATTGAGGAGACCCAGGCGCCTTCAAGCCGGTTCTTTTGGCACCAGAGGAAGATCCTGAATCTTCAAGACATAGGCCATCTGAACTGGGGTTGTGGTTTGCTCCAGCAATCACAGCCGTTGAGGAAGGAGGAAACTTGGTGAGGCTTCTCAGCTTCAAACCCCTTGGACCCAGGACTGATTGAGACTGTAATGTATGTTTTCCTTCACCCCTCTAAAGTTTTCCAGCTCATTGCTTTGAAGAAATGACTTTGTGATAAATAAAACTTATTTTGAGCTATTTACAGCGTTTTGGGTTTTTGGGAGTTCCAGTTTCCTATAGTCGGGCAAGAAGCAATCTCCTGGGGGAAAGATGCCACATCCATCCCTCCTTTATTGAGGATAATAGCCCCCAGGCGCGACGGCACACTCCCCCTGAAGTCACAGGTTCGCAGTTTGGGTGTCCTCTTGGATTCATCACTTACGCTTGAGGCTCAGGCGTCGGCGGTGACTGGGAGGGCTTTTGCACAATTAAGACTTGTGCGGCAACTGCGACTGTACCTCGCAAAGGCTGATCTGGCCGGGGTGGTCCATGCCTTAGTCACCTCTAGATTGGACTAATGTAATGCGCTCTACGTGGGGCTGCCCTTGAAAACGGCTCGGAAATTTCAGCTGGTCCAATGGGCGGCAGCCAGGTTGCTAATTGGTGCTCCTTACAGAGAGAGGTCAACCCTCCTGTTTAAGGGGCTCCACTGGTTGCCGTTCATTTTCTGATCCCAATTCAAGGTGCAGGTGAAGCCCTAAACGGTTTGGGACCTGCCTATCTGCGTGACCACATCTCTGTATATGAACCCACACGTTCCCTCCATTCATCTGGAGAGGCCCTGCTCACGATCCCACCTGCGTCGCACGCGCGCTTGGTGGGGATGAGGGACAGAGCCTTCTCTGTGGTGGCCCCCCGACTCTGGAACACCCTCCCCAAGGACATCAGACAAGCCCCAATGTTGGCAGTCTTTAGGAAGAGCTTGAAGACTTGGCTGTTCCGGTGTGCCTTTCCAGAATAGGAAACTCCTGGCATCATGTCCCAGATGCACTTTATTAGAGATTTAAGATTGCTTGCACATTGCATCTACCCTAGAATCCTTACACTTCACTTGTCATGTCCAGCACTTTTAACTGTACCCATTACATTTGATCCGGCCCTAGTTTTTAAATGTGTCACGGTGTATTGTTTTGCTGTTTTACTGTTACTGCTTTAATGTTTTTTGGTTTGCTTATAAATTAGATAATGTATTTGTTATGCTATTTTATTGAGGGCCTTGGCCTTTGTAAGCCGCATCGAGTCCTTCGGGAGATGTTAGCGGGGTACAAATAAAGTTAATAATAATAATAATAACATTTTTGGAGGACCATCTTACTTGAACAAGGATCACCTAAGTAAGTAAGCAAGTAAGTACCCATCCTGTATCTGTGCATTTCATATCTTTTTCTGGCTAAGTGTAGTATCCTACATTTCTCCTTGTTGGAATTCTTTTTTAAAAAAAATTGGCCCACTTCTCTAATCTGTGATGGTTATTTTGAATTCTGATCCTGTCTTCTTGAGTAATAGCTCCTCCTCCTAATTTGGTGTTATCTGCAAACTTGATCAGCATGCCCTCTAAACCTTCGTCCAAGTCATTACGAAAGCCATTGACAATACATTAATAAAGATGTTGAACAACACTGGGCCCAGGACACAACCTTCTTTATGGCACCACTTGTGACTTTTTTTCCAGGAAGAAGAGGAACCATTAGTGAGCACCATCTGTGGACACATTTGAGGACAAATTTCATAACTTGACACCAGAAGTGGACCAGGAGTCTTCAACTTTCCCAGAGGACCTGTGGCATCCTGGAAGTAAGCAGTGATTCAGGGAGTACTTAGTTCTGTGGCCCAATGCACCTTAAAAGCTAACAGCAGGGCATTTAGGAGGTTCTGTGCTTTTAGGATTCAGGGGGTTATGAGGAAGCATGGCCCGCCTCAGAGTGTGAGGTGCTGCATTATTTGGTCCATCTGAGGAATAACACAGTCCCTTCAGCTAGCAAGTATAACCTTCTTCAACAAGGCTGGTAATTTTGCAAACTTGTCCACATCCCTTTTGATCAGCAAAGCAATGGGGGGTTAAAGAAGAAAGAACCCATACAAGGTGCTGACAAAAGATCCACTACATTCAGACTTTTGAGTAGATTCATGGATTTGAGACCCTGTTGTTTAAAGGAGACTCACTGTTGCATTTTTGGAGACTTAAGGTTGGAGGAGCTGGTATCCAATTCCAACAAAAACAGAGCAGGCATGGCATGCAGGGTAATAATAATAATAATAATAATAATAATAATAATAATAATAATAATAATAATAAGTTTATTTATATACTGCTCAATCTCCCCGAGGCGGACTCGGGGCAGTTTCCAAGTAACATCACCGAAACATACAAAGTAAACAGCATAACATAAAATTAACACAACAACATAAGCATAAAATTGTCAGCATTATAATGGGATAAGAGGAAAGGAAAGTTCGTTCCGTTTCAAGGATTGGAGCAGGGTAGCTCCTGCTCAGTTCATATGCACTTTTTTTTTCTCGAAAGAACAAACCTCAGGGGAAAGGCTACTCTTTGACCATATGGATAAATTGCCCCTTGTATGTCAGTTTATAGCAATTTTGAGATTAGCATTGTAGAAGGCAGGGCTGCCTGCCTTGTAGGTCTAGTTTTGTATTAACTGTGCAACATAATATCCATTGCCATCAGATTTAGAAACTTTAGCTTATCTCCAAACAGGCTGCAGTGCTCTCAGCCAAGTGTTGGATGCTGCAAAAGGTTCCAAGTGATTCCAACCTGGCTCCTCCTCCCCACCTCTTTTATCTTTCACTCCCATCTGAGAAATACAGAGTGACACATTGATCTGATGCTGGAAGTAACTGTAGAGTTCCTTTGCTTGCTCTCCTGATCATCTTTGACAGCTTCTATACTTTAAAAAAAAGAATGGCTTACCTTCAGCAATCTGATGAGCTTGTCTTTTTTGTCAATGGCAAAAAGGTGAGTACAATATTTCTTTTCTTCAGTAATTTGATTAGAAAATGAAGTGGGAGCTTCCTGTATAGACAAGGAATTCTAAATGCACTATAAGGATTTTCAGGATTTTACAAACAGGATACAAGAGAGCCAGCATGGTGTAGTACAGCTGCTCTGATTCCCCTTTGGGATGGGAAGGGTGGAACATAAATATTGTAAATCAGGTCTCCGTAAACTTTCTAAACAGAGGGCCAGGTCAGAGTCTCTCAAACTGTTGGAGGGCCGGATTATAATTTGAAAAAAAAAAGTGAATAAATTCCTATGCACACTGCACATATCTTATTTGTTGTGCAAAAAAACCCCTTTAAAACAATACAATCATTAAAATGAAGAACAATTTTAACAAATATATATTAGTATATCATTGGGAAGTGTGAGCCTGCATTTGACTGATGAGATAGGATTGTTGTTTTTGCTGTGTGCTTTCAAATCATTTCAGACTTAGGTGGACCCTGAGTGAGGGCCAGGCAAATGACCTTGAATGGCTGTATCCGGCCCTCGGGCCTTAGTTTGAGGACCCCTGGTGTAGTACATTGAGTGTCAGACTATGATTTTGGAGACTGGGTTTGAATCCTTGTACTACTATGGAAACTTACCAGGGCTCTTTATAATTTTCCCTCACTGACATGTAGCTAGTAACTACATCCGTGTGTTGAGTATAGCAGCATCCTGTGTTAATTGGCACATCCAGAAGAAGTAGCATTGATCTTTAATTTTATACCTTTTCTTATTATTGGCACCATCCAGAAACATATCCAAAAAGTATACTAAGTGGTTAATGCCACCCATGTCAACAATTACTGAACTGAGATGGATCCATCACAGGGAGGTTCATGGAGACCTCCGGTAATACCATGCCAACAATGTGGGAAAGCAAGGACGTAACTGCAAAGTCAGATAATAGACCTTGGTCTCCTCATGAGCGTTCAGCTTTCCTACCCATCCACCCCAATGCTACAAAATGGGGACTGCTCTCCTCAGAAGCCTTTAGGAGCAACCCCCCCCCCCCCAAATCTGGTTGTAGCTAGCTGATCACATAAGTGTAAGATGTCACCATGCCCATGCAAATTTTAGACTTTACTTTGGTCCCTGCTACTGAGACATTACATTTTGTATGCACTTGCTTGCAATGTTGAATAAGAGAAACTGAAGAAAATAAGCACATTATGTTAATTTCTATGTTCATAAGCATAGCTAATTCTCTTTAACAAGGTAGATTATGTTTCTCTGGATTCTTGTTTCAGGTGATCGAGGAGTGTGCTGATCCAGAAGAATTGCTGCTTAATTACCTGAGAAAGCGGCGTATCTTTCAATTTTCTTTTGCACTGTGTAACATCCTTCTTTTTAATTCAAAATACAAGGATATTATCACATAGCACCGTTTTACTGTAATCCCAACTTTGTCCTGTATTTTATTGCAAGACGTCACAGCCCTCCTGGTGCTCTGCTGTGCTGCAGGATTCTTGGGTCATTTGAAAATGGATTTTTTCTCTCAATTGAAATAATCTATTAATGATCCCAGGTCCCACTATTAGGTAGTAACAATTTTGGATCTGAATGTCCTATTTTACTTAGCTGAAATATTTGGAGTATAGTGGACATGTGGTGGGTGGGATTTAATTGCTCATCCTTGGGAGATTCCCTGTCGATGTCCAGTCTACTTCTGAAGGTTGAGCAAAAAAGATCCCAGAAGTCTAAGAGACCTGTTTTACATTTGTATTCCATACTTCCACATGGCTTTTAAATATTGTTTTAATGCTGTTGTTTTAAATAAGGGGGGAAGTGCAATAGCACAATCCCAACAGAAACCTATTAAGGATCAATGCCTGAGGAAAGATAATTGGCATTATAAACATTAGAATGGAAAAACCTAAATATGAAACAGGAGAAATCATTGGTTTTCCTTAATAATATGGTGTTAAGTCCGCCTCACAGGAACCAAGTATGGCTGTGGAATCGGAGGCTGTGGGGCCTGCACCGTGATGATTTCTACATACAATGCAGACTCCAAGAAAATACGGTATTCTTTAGAAAAGGGGAAGACAGCTCAATAAATCTACACCACAACTTAACCTGAAATACCTGAAGTAATTTTCTACCTTTTTTTTGTCATGTCAAGAGTGACTTGAAAAACAGCAAGTCACTTCTGGTGTGAGAGAATTGGCCGTCTGCAAGGACATTGCCCTGGGGATGCCTGGATGTTTTGATGTTTTATCATCCTTGTGGGAGGCTTCTCTGATGTCCCCGCATGAGGAGCTGGAGCTGATAGAGGGAGCTCATCCACGCTCTCCTCAGATTCGAACCTGTGACCTGTCGGTCTTCAGTCCTGCCAGCACAGGGGTTTAACCCACTGCACCACCGGGGGCTCCTCTTTTAAAGTGTTCTGGGAACTGTCACTAACAAGGGTGCAGCAGAGAGCAAGAGAGGTGGGCATGGGCAAGTACACACAAAACACTTGGGGTTCCTGGCCCCTTTATTTTCAGCATGCTCAGAACTTGACTCCCTTCACAAGGGCACATGATGGGAGGCAGAATTGGGAAGGGGAGCAAATGAGAAGCCATGAAGAAGGGTTGGGCCAAGATCCTGTAGGATGCCAAGTTTCTGTTCAGATCATTGAGGACCTTCCCCAGTTGGTGACATGGATATACAATGCTACATCTGAAATCCCAGCAGGGAAAATTGCTACATCTGAAATCGCAACAGGTGGCTGGGAATTTTTGGCACTTGTAATCGTACCCATAACTTTTCCATGCTCAGTGGGAGATAATGTGACTCCCCACTCAGCATCTTTCTGGGTACATCAAATGGGTATAGCACAAGTCTCTTTGTAGTGACTTTCCAAATGTATTTGGTACAACTGCAAATGAACTGGTCATACCTGGCCTTTAATCCAGATATTTTGTCCAAGGTTCTGAGTTTTGAGTAATATCTATATTCCCTTTTGAGGAGCTTTCCAAAATACTCCTATAGCACTTTGTCAATTCTGATGCCTCAGCCAGGGTACTGGATTGGGCTGACCCTGAAACCATCTGCAGCCTAGGTTGGTCCTGGCTTGGAGCTACCACAGCTTGGAGTCCACACTGGTCAAGAGTCAGAATAGCCCTTAACGCTCCTAAGACATTATCCAGCCAACTCTTGCCTCCTCCCACTCTGCTCATTGTATGGTGCCGCAGTAACCACTGTGGAAGGAGTGGGGTCCACAACAACCAAGCTGCACCCCATTCAGGTAAGACAGGAGATTATAGAATGAAATAAAGACATCACCAAAGTCCATGGATTCCAGCATGCAGAATCAAAAAGCCTGGTGATTTGTAGTGCACCCTGTAGTGCACCCTGCACCTCAACTCAGCTTGAGTGAATTAGAATCCAGGCTGAATAGCATCTTCTTACAGCTCCCAATTCACTCTGCTCCTTGCCCAGCTGTTATAAGTGCAACTGCTTAGTTTGGGAAGAAGGTAGGGGAACTTAGTGGGTTTGCTAGCTTATTGGACATAATAGTTTAACAGAATCCACAAGAGTCAAATAGGACTCAAAATACTCAAATAGTCCCTACTCAGGGTTACAGGAAGATAAAGTTCACTATCACACTACAAAGCTATAGAAGGACACCCTTTTAAATAATGCTTTTTCATTCTAGCAAAGGCTTGCGAAGTGCCATGGTTCCCAGTGTGGCTTCTGCACTCCTGGAATGGTGATGTCCATGTATTCCTTACTAAGAAACCACCCTGAACCCAGCATGGAGCAGATTGCTGCATCTCTGGATGGTAAGCCAGCTTTCTCCCTTTCCTTATTTGGAAGCTGTTTATCAAATAGGACATATAGATAAAACAAACCGAGTCTGAAATCCTGTTCTTTAATCCTGTGGTAAATCAATGCACAGTTCAGAGGGTTTATTTTAAGTAGGACTAGTAACAGAATCCAGGTCTATTGTTTTGATATGTGCATCCTGGTTAGTTGTCTACTGTTCCACAGAGTTGTTACAACTTAAGCTTTGATCATCTTCTGCTGCCTGATCTTCCTGAAGCCTTTGGGCATTGCAGGTGTCTCTGCTTATGGTATGCTCTGCAGTCAAGAACAGGGCTTATTCACACTTTTCAAGTATAGCACTATTGTTCCCTTCTAATTGCCACATTTCTGTACTTTATAAAACCAGGATTTGCAGCCAAGGGAGGAGCATTTAGAATGATCAGCCAAAGAGCTCTAGTGCCTCACCAGACTACAGACCCTGGGTTTCTGTAGGATGGAACCATAGCTGTTATAATTGGCTATAACTGTGTAGTTTCTCCAAAGCAACTTCTTGTCCTTCCATGAGACGCAAAACCTTTTATATGAAGCACTTTCCTCACTCTGCTTCATAGTAGGACCAGCTGAGCCTGGTCAAAGGGGCCCCATTGAACTCAATTAATATGATTAATATTAGTGTGAAAATAAGTATCAGATTATGCTGGACTTTATTTCAACACTGGAATCTGGAGATATAAATGTTCATAACATCCTCATTAGATATATTACTGTTGGTCCTCCATATCCATGTATTCTGCACCCTTTGATTTAATCCCGTAGTTTTGTCATTTTATATAAAGGATGTCATTTTATTCTTCTGTTGTATATAATGGGACTTGAGCATCCATGAGCATCCATTTTGATATATTGGAACCAAACCTCAGCAGATGCCAAGGGCTCACTGTACATCCAGAAGATGGGTATTGCTGGAAGGACTGGCACTTCCTACAAAGGAGAAAGAGGGAGAGCTGATTAATTCAATTTATCACTGAAGTATTAAGAGCGTATAGATGGTAAAGTTGACTAGAATGGATGTCTCTGATTCAGATCACCGGGAATGCTATCTTATATGTATTAATCTTTGTGCATCATACTGTTTTCTAGGGAATTTGTGCCGTTGTACAGGATACAGACCTATAATCGATAGCTTCAGTGCTTTTTCTCCGGTAAGAGCAAAAATGAAAAAAAAAAGAGAATCTATTAATTTTGTTGGAGGTGGCCATATATTACCATTTCTGGATTATTAGCCTTTGGAAAGAGCTACTCGCCCTTTCCAAAATCTCCCAATATGTTCTATGGCAAGTGGGAGAGAAAGACTTTGTGCACACTGCGCTTTTTTTTAAAAAAAAAACACCACATTTCCCTCATTTTACAGCATGAAATGATAGATTATGCTAAACAAAACAAAATAAATCATATGTTGCATCCAAACAAAAATCTCTCTTCTTTTGAATGATGACTGTTAATACAGTTCATAACTTTGTACCTGTTTCAACTTGACTGGTATAACTATCTTCAATATCTTTCTGGGCTGTCCCTTGGTTGAACCTGGGACATGTTTGATAAAACCCAGAGCATATGGGCTGTAACTTTGGGGGGGGGGGGGCACACAGTTTGGCTCTTAGAGCATTAGGGCTTGTTATGTGCATGTATACACCCTTCTTCTTCCTCCTCCTCCTCTTCTTCTATTATTATTATTATTATTATTATTATTATTATTATTATTATTATTACTACTACTACTACTACTACTACTACTGTATACTTGTGTATAGGTCAAAATATGTTTTGGCCCAAAAATAATCACTCTGCAAAACCTAGATCAACTTATACACAAGCCAGTGTTGGGATAGAGACTCGGCGCAAAGGCAGAGACAAAAAGCAGAGGTACTATGAGCTCTTACCCCATTAGTCCATACTCAAACTGGAGAAAGAAAGGCAGCCCTCGTTCCTCCCTCATTTTTGTTTTTAGCCTGAGGAATAATTTAACAGCAATGTAAGGCAACCATTTGGGGCATTTGAGGTAGAGAAGAGATTAACTGCAGAGACTGTGGTGACCATTTTCAGAAAGGGATTTGAACTTAACGCCTTACCTAACATGGTCACTGCCACTTTACTCCAACTGAATGAAATGCAAAAGTATTGCATGGGTAATACCTGACTTGAAAGCAGTCCACATGAAAATGATTTGGAGATATAATACATCACCAGCTAAACATGAGGGAACAATGTGCTGCAGTGGCAAAAAATAAAGCCAATGCAGTCCTGGGCTTCATCAAGAGGAATATTGTTTTTAGATCAAAGAAAGCAGAAATCCCACTCTATTCTGCTTTGGTTGGATCTCATCTAGAATACTCTGCCACCGTTGAAGGATGTCAACAAACTGCGAAGTGTTCAGTGAAGAGCAACCACGATTATCAAAGAATTGGACACAGCATTTTAGGGAGCTGCTTATCTTTAGCTTTGAGAAAAGAAGTCTTGGAGATGCCATAAAAGTTATATTTAAATCTCTGAAGAGGTGCCATGTGGAGGATGGGGCCAGATTGCTTTCTGCTGCTCAGGAAGCTAGAAGATAAAACAATAGATCCACAATGCAAGAAAGAAAGAGATTCCAACTATATATTGGGAGTGCAGCCTTAAATCCTGTTACATTTCTTGTCTTTTAATTAAATAAATTCCTTTGTTTAGGAGTGTTGCCCATTGGCAGGAAGTGGGAAGTGTTGCATGGACAAAGAAGAAGGGAAAGAGATGAAAGGCAGTGATTCTGGAGAAGAAGACCCATCATTGCATTCTGGAAATGGAAACAGGGTAAGCTACAGAGTGTCAACGTTTCTATATTTCTCATGGAAAGCATTTTTAATGTTCATGCCATAGGATTTATCTGAGTTCGAACTCAACCTATGTGGCCTTTAAAGCAGAGATCTGTCTTGCTGCAGATTGAGTCAGGCATCTTATGTTTGATTAATATCCAACTGAGTAGGTAAAGGTTTTGCTATAGGAAATTAAACCTAGGGGAATGTGAAAGTAAACGTTTGGCAGAAACATCTTTGGTTTCTTCTTCACCAAGTACGTCTCCTCATAAGTTTTTGACTGTATCAGATCAGATCCTATTTGATCAGATCCTTCTGCGTAGGATTAACTCTGCAGTTCTTCAGAGGCAATCCACATGCTTGAAAAATGCTGCTCTCCCTCAATCCCCAGCTTCTACTCTGTGAAGTGTAACTAGTTGCCTCAAAGCCAAATCTGTCTAGTACCTCCTCTGCAGACAGTCTTCCAGAAGATGGAGCTGAGTTGTTCATTGTTGCTCAGAATTAAATCCCATAATTGTTGCTCAGAATTACACTCCCCTTGAAGGTGCAGTTCGCAGTTTGGGAGTGATCCTGGACTCATCGCTGAGCCTGGAACCCATGGTCTCAGTGGGGGCAGGGGAGCTTTTGCACAATTAAAACTTGAGCGCCAGCTGCACCCGTATCTTGGGAAGTCTGAATTGGCCACGGTGATCCACACTCTGCTTACATCCCGTATAGATTACTGCAATGCACTCTATGTGGGGTTGCCTTTGAAGACTGCTCAGAAGCTACAATTGGTCCAACGGGCGGCAGCCAGGCTGCTCACCGTCATTGCAGATGGCCAATTCTCTCATACCAGAAGCGACTTGCAGTTTCTCAAGTCACTCCTGATATGAAAAAACTGGTCAATATCAAGTGATGGGATAAATCAGGGAATTTTTGTTATGTAAAAAAGAGAAAAAAATTGTTAACCCTGTTCATAATCAACATTTAAAAAACAGGTTTATTTATTTTATTTATTTACTCCATTTGTATACCGCATTTATCAGCCTGGAGCGGCGACTCAATGCGGTTTACAGTAAAAATAAACAGTGAACAATATATAAGACGTACATCGACAAACAATACACATAATCATCAACGCCTACTTAGAATCAGATCCCGTTCTCATAGTCCTTAATTCAATCCTTGTTCAATGCCGTCATTATTGGGGTGGTTGTTACTGCATAGCTAACCGAATGCCTGCTCATAGAGCCACGTCTTAACCCTCCTTCGAAACACCAGCAACGAAGGGGCCTGCCTGATGTCCACTGGTAACGCATTCCATAGCCGAGGGGCCACTACCGAGAAGGCCCTGTCTCTCGTGCCCGCCAACCGCACTTGTGACGCTGGCGGGACCGAGAGCAGGGCCTCCCCGGACGATCTTAACGCCCTTGCCGGTTCATAGGTGGAGATGCGTTCGGAGAGGTAAGTGGGGCCGGAACCGTGTAGGGCTTTATAGGCTAAAGCCAGCACCTTAAATTGTGCTCGGTAGCAAATTGGCAGCCAGTGGAGCTGGTTCAACAGGGGGGTGGTATGCTCCCTGAGAGCCGCTCCCGTTAGCAACCTGGCTGCCGAGCGCTGGACCATCTGAAGCTTCCGGGCAGTCTTTAAGGGCAACCCCACGTAGAGCGCGTTGCAGTAATCTATACGGGATGTGACAAGAGCGTGGACTACCGTGGCCAAGTCCGACCTCCCAAGATACGGGCGCAGCTGGCGCACAAGCCGAAGCTGTGCAAATGCTCCTCTGGAAACCGCTGAAACTTGGGGTTCCAAGCTTAGCGAAGAATCCAGGGTCACACCCAAGCTGCGAACCTGTGTCTTCAGAGGGAGTGCGACCCCGTCCAACACAGGCTGTAACCCTATACCCTGTTCGGCCTTGCGACTGACCAGGAGTACCTCTGTCTTGTCTGGATTCAACTTCAATTTGTTCGCCCTCATCCAGACCGTCACAGCGGCCAAGCACCGGTTCAGGACCTGAACAGCCTCCTTAGTAGCAGGTGGAAAGGAGTGACAGAGTTGGACATCATCTGCATACAGATGATATCAAACTCCACAACTCCAGATGATCACTCCCAATGGCTTCATGTAGATGTTAAACAACATGGGGGACAGTATTGAACCCTGCGGGACCCCACAAATCAATGGTTGTGAGGACGAGCAGTTGTCCCCCAGTAACACCTTCTGGGAACGATCCTCTAGGAAGGACCTGAGCCACTGTAAAACAGTGCCTCCCAGGCCCATTCCCGCAAGGCGTCCCAGAAGGATACCGTGGTCGACGGTATCGAAGGCCGCTGAGAGATCCAGCAGAACTAACAGGGACACACTCCCCCTGTCAAGCTCACGCCGGAGATCATCCACTAAGGCGACCAAGGCTGTCTCGGTACCATGCCCCGGCCTAAAGCCAGACTGTGCCAGATCTAGATAATCAGTGTCTACCCAGAATTCATGGAGTTGCCAGGCCACAACACATTCCAGGACTTTCCCCAAATAGGGGAGATTGGAAACAGGCCAATAGTTGACGAATTGAGTGGGGTCCAGTGATGGTTTCTTCAACAGCGGTTTTATAACAGCTTGCTTTAAGCTGGCTGGAATTTTGCCTTCCCGAAGGGAGGCATTAACCACCACCTTCACCCACTCGGCCAATCCCCCTCTGGCCTCTTTTAGAAGCCAGGATGGGCAGGGGTCTAGGATGCATGTGGTTGCTCTCATCCCTCCAAGCACCTCGTCCACATCCTCAGGTTTCACAAATTGAAACGAATCCATCAAAATCGGACAGACAGGTGTTCTCGTCACATTCTCAGAGACTGCCGTTAACATGGTATCCAGACTTGAACGGATCAAAGCGACTTTGTCCGCAAAGAACCGTGCAAATGCTTCACAGCGAGCCGCCGAGTTGTCAGGGCTCCCATCCGAGATGGTGGGCTTCAACAGGCCTCTGACAACTCGAAACAGCTCAGCCGGACGGTTCTTTGCGGGCGCAATATTGGCCGCAAAGAAGGATTTCTTTGCCGCCTTTATTGCCACGGCATATGCCCTTAATAGGGCAACAAACCGTGCTCGGTTTGACTCGCTCGGGTCCGAACGCCACACACGCTCTAGTCTCCTCTTCTTTCGCTTCATTGCTGCCAGCTCCTCGTTGAACCAAGGAGCTGGTTTAGCTCGGCTACTTGAGAGGGGACGTTCCGGAGCAATCGTGTCTATTGCCCTGGTCATCTCCCCGTTCCAGAGAGCCACCAGGGCATCGACAGGATCACCAACCGAGGCAGGAAAAACCCCAAGAGCCGTCAGGAATCCATTCGGATCCATAAGCCTCCTGGGGCGGACCATCTTAATGGGTCCCCCACCTTTGCAGAGGTTAGGGGTTACATAAAGACTTCCTTCTATGGAGTGAAAAAAGATACATGAAAACTAAGAGAAGATATATGAAGTCCACCTTGCTCCCATCCTTGACAGAAGACCAAATCCAATGTGTGCCCAGCACTGTGGGTGGGGCCAGTTACTTTTTGGGACAGCCCCATGGTTGCCATGGAAGACATGAAGTCCTGAGCCGCTCCCACTAAGGTAGTCTCGGCGTGTACATTGAAGTCCCCCAGCACAAGAAGCCGTTGGGACTCCAATGACAGGCTCGAGACCACCCCTGCTAGCTCAGGTAGGGAGACTGTAGTGCAGCGAGGTGGGCGGTACACTAACAGAATCCCTATTCTGTCCCGGTCTCCCACCCTCAGGTGGACACATTCAAAATTAGTCGACTGAAGGATGGGGCCTCTGGTCAGGGGGATCGAATTTTTATAGACTACCGCTACTCCGCCTCCCCGCCCTCCAGGTCTCGACTGGTGCTGTACGGAGAAACCTGGAGGGCAAAGCTGGGTTGATTCCCATACCTGATTAAACAGGAACCTTTATGGTCTATCTGAATCATTATTTGCCTTAAAACAGAGGCAGAAATCCCGTATGCCTCCAGATGTTGTTCTGCAAGTTGCAGCATCACTAACTAGTTTATTTATTTATTTATATCATTTTTACACCACCCATATCAGCCCAAAGGTGACTCAGGATGGTGAACGATCGGTACAATTCAATGCCATATATAAAATACATATATCAATAGAAATAAAACATCACATTACACTATATCTAAAAACATCAAACTAGTGAACAATAAAAATTTTAAAACTATGTCGTCATATTCAGTCTTCATCCGTTCCGTCGTCTTAGCCTTTCCTAGGTCGTTTTCCAATTCAGGTTTATCTGATTAAGCTGAGGCTCCAAAAGCCTGATGTTTAGTGACCGATAAGGAAAACAGAGGGATGCAGTTCAAGAATATCTGAAGAACCACGTAATTATTATCCTGCCCTAAAATGAGTAAAATGTTTTTGTACTGTATTTTATGTACACCAATTATTGAAAATCATTCACAGTCCAGATTTCAATTCTCTGAAACCTTATGATATAAAATCACATAATCTGTCATAACCAATGAGACAGGATTGTGAAAGATATCAGTTCTGTGCCCCTGTTTTGCATAGGAGTTTGTCACATGAGGGAAATCTCAATTACAACAGGATTATCACAGGATTTATCATAGAGTTGTTCTTTTGTTCTCGAGATGGGGGGGGGTAAGACTCTTGGAAGGCAATTCTATTATCATCATGGCTTAAAAGTCAAAACTTTTCTAAAAGAAGGTTACTATAAAAAAAAAAACACCTTTCAAATGCATTCAGTAACCCCATTTATTCTGTGGCTCAAAATCCGCTTTCCATATTAGTACTAAATATTTGGGTTTTTCCCCCTTAGATGTGCTCAGGCTTATGCAAGCCAGAGGAATTCCATCCCAGGGATCCAACCCAGGATTATATATTTCCTCCTGAACTCATGGTAAGCAATCAGTCTTCCATTGATATTTGCTGCAAATGATTGGCAGAGGACCGGTACCAGAATGAGGAGGATTGAGCCCTTTCCTGTTTGAGATAAAGTAGCCAATGGCATAACGTCAATATTTATGATACCAAAGGCCAACTAAGTTATTTGAGGACTTAAGGTAAAAAAAAATCCTACAAGTGCCTCTCCTCCACCACTCTCTGGCGGTAGCATTGTGTGCATGTGTCTGTGTACGTTACTTGTAGACTTACTATAACCTAATAACTTTCATAGGATTTTCTTAGGCAGTGAGTACTCAGGTCCCTTCTGAATAGCCATATAATGTAGAATATCAAGGCAGATAATCCACAATATCTGCTCTGGACTGAGTTATCTGAGTCCACACTGCCATTTAACCAGTTCAAAGAAGTTAGGATTTTATTCAGCTGTTTGGGAAGAGCCTCAGAAGTTGTTTTGCCAGTTCCTTCCTCTGAAATATAGCCTGCAGGACCAGGTGTTGGTTGACAGTCTCCCATTAAAGTACTTACTCTCGCTAACTCTGCTTAGATAAATGGGGATTTGCTACCTTTGGGGCATTTAGGTCTTGGTAGTGACTTTGCGGTATACTCTTGCTTCTCTTTCATCATATGCAAAATCAGTTCTAGGAAAGGTGAGTATCACACCTTTCCTAGAACTATTCATATCATGCATATGTGCACATTTGCTTGCCAACTTTCTTTTACTTTTAAGTGCCACTTAGACGTAAAAGGACAAATAGGTTTCTCTTCCCTGATTCCCTTCCGGCTGTTCACTGGAGCTTCAAAAGACAGAGGTTTCATCCCAGTAAAGATAATATCTAACCCATTATGGTTGTGCAGACATACTTATGTTTGTCATCAACCATTCTGTGATTCGTTCTCAGAAGATATTATTTACCTATGAGATGTAATTATTTAATCTAGTAATGAGAGCCACAACCTCCCTCAACCAACCTGACATTCCCTGGTGCCTCATTGTTGTTTGTCCCACAGAGAATGGCTGAAGAGAACAAAGGAAGGACCCTGGTTTTCCATGGAGAGAGGACCACCTGGATTTCTCCTGTGTCCTTGGAAGAACTTCTTAACCTGAAGGCAACCTACCCAGATGCACCTCTTGTGGTGGGGAACACCAGTGTAGGTGAGCAGGTGGAGCCCCGTGTGGAAGTCATCCGGAGCTTTAGATGGGGAGAAGCACCCAGCCAGGCACCAACACTTTGCCATTCAGATGTCTGTGCATAGGGCAACCTACCATTAGACAGAAGGAGGCACTTTCTAAGGAAACGGATCCTAGGCAGAGAGGGACTATATGATGAGCTGACTGTGTTTGTGTGTGTAAGAGAATTAGAGGGAGAGGGAGAGATGACCTGCTGCCTTCATGTTATGTTTTCAGCGTCAAAACTTTCAGCATCAAAACTTCACCTAACAGTGTAGTCAGTTTGGAGGCATACTCAATCACTTCGGAGTAGCAAATAGAGATGTGACAAGGCAATTGACTGTAACAACATTGTTTAAAAACAGAAGACTAGTTTAACTATTGTCAATGCATTGAGATCCCCACTAATCACAAAAATCAGTCCAGGCTAATTCTGATGATAGGTGATTTTCCCAAGGAACAAGACTATTCATGCAGCAGCTGGCAGAATGGGTTGTGCCCCACCAGTACAGACAACAAACTCTACTTTCTGTGCAGAACAGCAATTCCCTGTTTGCTCCTTAAGTGTGGGAGAGAATTAGTACGAGAATTAGTACATCAAAGAGATAGATTCTAGATGTGTTGTTATTTTTTTTAACCTTCAGGGGATTTTATTTTAGAAATCACCCTTAAAATTAATTCAGTGCTACTTGAAGGGGTAGTCCATGGATTGGTGCCAGCCATTAAGGTGTTTGCTGCAGGCAAGTTTCCAGGACAGAAAGAAACAATTGCAGGCATAAACATAATATCAGTCCCTGACAGGGGTAAATGCTGGCACTTCAGTCTATGACAGGCATTGCTCTAGTTACTTTGAGAGCTAACTGGTAAATTTGTGCATTTTGTTTTCGTTTGTCTAATAATTCACATAACATTTGTTAAATGTTCTACTTACGAGGCAATATCCGATACATGGGCATGGCCCGCACCAAAAATGTAAGTATCAAAACTAACCCCATACTTACTCATTTTAGTTTTGTAAATCTCAAAAGACTCCCAAAGGCAGTTTCCTTTTCAGCACAAGGAAGCAAGGCAAAGCCAAAAAGCCTGCCTTAATGCCTTGCCTTTTCTCTAAACTAATGGAGTCTCAGTATTAGAAGCAGTAGAAAAGAGGGAGCAGAGTTTTCTGGGAACAGCACAGAACTCTGGGAAATGTAGTTTTGGGAAGGGAGGAGCTCTATGCTAGAGAATTCAAAAGCCCTGACCCAGAGGCGATCCTAGGTAATTTTCAACGGGAAGCAAACAGTATTTTGGCGCTCCCACCCACCCCCCAACCAATCACTGATGTATATTTTCTGTTCGTCGTGGGAGTTCTGTGTGCCATATTTGGTTTAATTCCATCATTGGTGGTGGAGTTCAGAATGCTCTTTGATTGTAGGTGAACTATTCATTCCAGTAACTACAACTCGCATATGTCAAGGTCTAATTTCCCCCAAGAGCGCCCCTGGGCAAAATCAACTATACTGCAAACGCTTACTTTGCATAATGGGTTGAGCCGCCCCTGCCCTGACCTAAACTACATTTCCCAGAATACATCAGCATCAGAAACCATCAATCAGGGTAGCAGAGAGAGAAGTTTGTCCCTCCCTAACAACAGCCAGTGAGAATTCCAATGAATGGTTGAATCTAAAAAGAGAAGGACTGACAGACACTTCTAGTAAGTAAATCTCTGTGCTGGGCTGTGAAGAAATCCCTAAATGGATGTCCACCATACTATGGGGGAAGCATATTAATTAGTTTAGAGGCTGGATGGCCATCTGTCAGTAGAGTTTTGATTGTGCCCTTCTGTCTGGAAGAAGGGAGTTGGACTGGATTGCCCTTGGGGGTCCCCTTCGACTCTAGGATTCTATGAAAATGTAGAATTGGTTAACATTGGTTTCTGTTGGTTAATATGAGAGACATTCAATGAGATAGCTATTGTGGCTTTAAAAAAACATTTTGTCAAAACGTTTTTAAAAATCCCTAAAATCAATAGGCGTTTGAATATTTCTGAAAGTTGGGGAAAATGATCCCCTGTTATCTCCTGCTATAAAAAATTCAAGGAGATAGCTCTTGTAGTTTTTTTTAATGTTGTTTATAAAAACTTTGAAAATTCCCCAAAATTCCATGGATAAGTGAAACGTTCTGAAATTTGGTGGGCTACCAGTGGTAAATGTGTTCTACCATTGTAGCAAGCTTTAAAGTAGCTTTAAAATGAGGGCAAAAGGAGCCTTTGTAATTTATGTGCAGTTATTGTAACAAAAAAAGCAACAAAATTTTGTTACTCTCATTATAGTAACACATTTTTCACAAACTATACTTTAGAAACACTTTAGAAATGAAATGCCAGTGTCTCCCAGTTTTGTAGTGACTTTTAAACCTTTTTTATGGATCACACATCCCTACTAACGAGACATGACAACAGTATATATCAGGTTGTGTTCTTACATAGGTACAGTAATGACACAGATAATATGTGTAACTTAGGTAACTGTTCTAGAACTGTATGATTGCAATGTAAGAGTGGGCTTAAACAAGTAATCGTTGTGTGTTTTTTTTAATTGTATCAGGAGCGACTTGAGAAATTGCAAGTTGCTTCTGGTATGAGAAAATTGGCCATCTGCAGAGACATTGTTCAGGGGACACCTTGGGAGGCTTCTCTCCTGCCTCTCATGTCACTTCTTTAGTTCAAATCTGCTCCAGTTTGAATCTCACTCGTAGAGTCAAACTGCCAACCTTCAGGTCAGCAGTTCAGCCAGCAAAAGGGTTTAACCCATTGCCATACCACGGCTCCCTGTAATAGTGATAAAGTGGTAGGAAACTAGTATCAGGAAGATGTGCGTGAGTTGTGGATAATAGTTGCTCTATTTTTTTAAAAAAAACTGTATTTTTTAAACAAGACGAGGAAATGGAAGCCTTATACTTTATACTTTAAAATTCAAGTTGCACCACAGAAAAGCACAGGTGTTGCAGTTGATACAGAGAACTGGATTTATACACATACAAACACTTATGTATCTACTTTTTAGCAGAAATCACCTTGACTCCATTTTATAGTCGGTCAGTGCAGCCCAAATTTAAAGACATACATGTGTAGTCTGTAACATGGTGTTTTTTTTCTTTCATTCTGATGTCTCTTTTTAATTTTGTCCCCATTAGGACTTGACAGGAAAATTCTGGGCATTTGGCACCCTGTTCTCCTTCACCCGGTCAGGATTCCAGAGTTGCATGTTGTCTCCATGGAAGAAAATGGTATGCCTCCAATGTCACCTTGGAAGCTACTCGAAAGCTATATTTTAATTCTTCAACAGTTAATAAACTTTGCTGAAACATGAACTAAAATGATAAAACCACTGTATAGGTACACCAAGTAAACAGCCCTGTAAAAGTGAGGAACTCACAAATGAAAAACCCTGATATTCACCACATTAAGAGTGCTTTCAGTCCAGTGCTTCTACTATTCAATGATTAAATGGCATTGGGCATCAATTCCATCTTTTTTTCCCTTTCATTGATTTTCTTTACTGAGAAATTAAATGAAACAGTGGACTGTTCAATTAAGGGAGTCATCTGCTAAAAAGTTCCACAAATAACAGTGTGATTCCACATTAAAAGCCTTATCTGGATGCACCCACAGTCCGTTCACATCACGCACTATATCAACTGCTGTGTTAAATAGGGCTTAGCTTTAACCACTTTTGGCCAGATTGTACATAAAGAAATCACATGCCTATATGCACTAGGTATCTTTTTCATATTTATTATTTAGCATCACTTTGCATATTTCTTTGCATGTTATGTATATACATGCTTTCTGACTTAAGTTGTAATCTTGTACACATTTATTGGAAAATATGTTTCACTTAACTCAGTTGAACACATATCTAAACTAATCTATGTAAGTTTGTGCTGTTAGTTCATTAACTCCTCCTTTTAGAACAGTGGTTCTCAACCTCGGGTCCCCAGATATTTTTGGCCTTCAACTCCCAGAAATCCTAACAGCTGGTAAACTGACTGGGATTTCTGGGAGTTGTAGGCCAAAAACATCTGGGGACCCTAGGCTGAGAACCACTGTTCTAAAAACAAATGCTTCTTCCAACTCCATCTGTGTTTGCATGTTCTGACTGATCAAAAAGTGCCAGATGTGCTGTTTGTCAGCTGAATGTCCTTTGGTTCCAGGCATCGTAATTGGTGCAGCCACCCACTTGGCTGAGCTGAGAGACATCCTATTGAGCCTTGTTCCCGAACTCCCAGCAGAGAAGACAAAGATATACCGGACGCTCTTGAAGCAGCTGAGGACTCTTGCTGGAGAACAGGTCCGGAATTTGGCTGTAAGTGTTACACATTATTATTTTTCCCAGAGTGCAGGTTGCCTCCACAAGCATTCCCTCCATTTTGGATCTGCTATGGATTAAAAAAAATATGCTGAAAGATTCACCCAGATGCTATTTGTTCATTGTGTCACTTGCCCTGACAGAGCTATTCTGTATCTGGCTTGGGCTGCTTTCTTCCAGTCCTGAAACTGTCCACTGAAGGACAATGTGTGGCAATGACAGAGGGACCACAGGAGACAGCAGTCCATGGGAATCTTACCTTGCCTCCTATCAAGCTCTCATGATCTTCCCTCAAACTATGCCATTAAAACAACTGCTGAAACAATGCTTGCTTGAAGTAGAGGCCAGGGCATGGTGAGGAAGCTGCTTGTGTATTTCAGTCCACCTGTCAGCCCAAGTCAAAACTTCATGACTCAATTATTGGATCTATGAAAACCAGAGATCATATAACGTTCCTATTTTAAACTGCAGAAGGAAGTTCTTAAATGTCTCATGCATGCCCAAATTGCAATCAGATGTCAAGGTGCTTTCCACCGTGAGGAGAAAATCAGTTGAGGAGTTCCAAGTGTGTTTTTAGCTCAAAAGCAGCAAGAAGTAAAATCACATCACTCTTTGATTTTAATCTTTCAAGGTTAACTTTTCATTTTTAACCATAGTAAGGAGACACAAGAATTCTGTGGTTGTTCCCTGACTTTCAATTATATTTGCAAAATGTTTAACTTTCCTGGGGTGGGCTCCAGTTGCCTACCTTTCATAGCCTATTACCATAATTAATATTTTAGCAATCTGCAAAAGAAAACAAATGAACACAATGGACAAAGAAAGGTATGGAACACACCTATGAGATCCTTCTGTTCTTCTCCTCACTAACGTATATATCAGTAGTTCTCAACCTGTGTTTCCCCATGTGTTTTGGCCTACAATTCCTAGAAATCCCAGCAAGTTTACCAGCTGTTAGGATTTCTGGTAGTTGAAAGCGAAAACATCTGGGACCCACAGGTTGCTATAGATCAGTGGTTCTCAACCTGTGGGTCCCCAGGTGTTTTGGCCTACAACTCCCAGGAATCCCAGCCAGTTTACCAGCTGTTAGGATTTCTGGGAGTTGAAGTCCAGAAACATCTGGGGACCCACAGTTTGAGAACCACTGCTATAGATGATGATATGTCAGAATGACAAAATGTGCAGGAAGACATCATAACACATTGAAGTGTGTTGTACTGGGAAACATAAACCTTCTTCCAAAAACAGAAGAATCTGGATTGGAGAGATGCTGCTGAGTTTGTTTTGACTGAGTGCCCTTCCACACAGCCCTATACCCAGACTATCAAGGCAGAAAATCGCACATTATCTGAGTGTGGACTCAGATAACCTAGTTCAAAGCATTTAATGTGGGATTTTCTGCCTTGATATTCTGGACTGTGTGGAAGGGCCCTGGATGTTCATTGTAACTCTCGTCTAGGATGTGATCAAGTCACTTGTGACAGATCAGTTTCAATTCATATCCTTTTACACATCATTTTTCCCATCCCTTGTACAAATAAATGACCTTGCTTAAACTTATTGTTTTTGAGCAAATAAGTTTTACTATGTTTTCAAAGAAGAAAATAACTCAAATAGTGAAAAGAGGGAAGAGAGAGAGAAAGAAGGGGGAGATGGGGAACAAACCTATTGCTGAACAAATCTGTATCATTTATTTGATACACTAATTTGAAGATCTAGAAAATCTTATTTGATCGCGGTGGCGTAGCAGGTTAAACCGCTTAGCTGCAGAACTCGCTGATCAGAAGGTCGGCAGTTCGAATCTGCATGACAGGGTGAACTCCTGTTGTTAGCCCCAGCTTCTGCCAATCTAACAGTGTGAAAACATGCAAATGTGAGTAGACCAAAAGGTACCGCTTCTGCGGGAAGGTATCAGCACTCCAAGCAGTCATGGCAACCACATGGCCTAGGAGGTGTCTACGGACAATGCCGGCTCTTCAGCTTAGAAATGGAGATGAGCACCACCCCCCAGGGTTGGACTCAACTAGACATAATGTCAAAGGAAAACCTTTACCTTTACTAGAAATCTTTAAATTTGTTTGGCTCTGTGATAGGATGGGTATACTGTAAATAAGTATCTTTCTTTGCCAGTCTTTAGGAGGACACATTGTAAGCAGAGGATCAGTCTGGGATCTGAACCCTGTTCTGGCAGCTGGGAACGCTGTTCTCAATCTGGCATCAATAGGTAAACGGCATTGCCCCTCAACCTTATATATATTCCTGTGTTAAATGGACTGATAAAGTAAAATTATTAGATTCATGATAATATTGTCCAAATAACGATAGGAGAGTAAACATTGATGGAGATTTATTGGGTTGTGTCCCACTACATTTTTTTCTTTGATGGTAGAGATAAAAAATCTAGATCAGTAGAAACACATGCCCTAAGTACATATTTTTTCCCTTTTTAGATGGGATACGACAGATTCCACTGAATGATGCATTCCTCACAAAAGTGCCAGAGGCAGATCTCTCCCCAATGGAGATCATCGTTTCCGTTTTCATTCCATTCTCAAAGGAAGTAAGTGTGTGTGTGTGTGTATGTTTCTTTTCTTTCCTTCTCCCTAAGCAAACCAAAATATGCTTTCATTGTTATGGTATGATTTGTTGTCCAAAAGTCTTGTATCAAAATTGCTAACATTAAAACCAACCATGCAAGCCATGGAAAAAAGCAATACATATTTCCAAGCAGAAGTATTAATCCACAGAAGATTGGGTCACATATATATTGTTTAGAAATATACAATTTTAAGATGTAGGACTGCTGAAAAATGCCCCAAGGACATGACAGGGCAGCAGAGGCTTTGCAGGGGTGGTGGCAAAACCATGAATAATTAAATTAATGGATGCCAAACCACAAATGTGGGTTCTACCTTTATTTGTATTTAGTGTGGCCCTTGAAGAAGGTCATCTTTGATAAAGGCCAAAACATGTTACTTTTTTAAATAAGAAAAAAACAAATGATAATCGATCAGTACATGAAGCTCAACTTCCCATCTTATTTTAAAAAATAAAATCCATAAAAATACAGATAATTCAATATATTGTCGAAGGCTTTCTGGCTACCAGTACTTTAAAAAAACCTCTAAAATTATAACAGTAAATAAAGAAGAAAACTCAAACACAGGGGAACTCCAGAGAAGAAACAATCAGGAACAGCTAATCACCTCTCAACAAAGAATCCCCCCAGGCAGTAACAAGACACACCTAAAAACTGTCAGGCCATCAAATGCTAATCAAGGTGGCCAACTGAAACATTCACACCTACCTCCAACAGACAAGAGTTCTTTCTCCCACCCTGGACCTTCCACAGATATATAAACCCAAATTTCCTACTTTCCAACAGACCTCACAACCTCTGAGGTTGCCTGCCACAGATGCAGGTGAAACGTCAGGAGAGAATGCTTCTGGAACATGGCCATACAGCCTGAAAAAAACCTACAACAATCTACAGATAATTCAAATAGCAATAATAGTTTGTAGTTAACAACAATATTATGTTACCAATACCTCGCAACACTGAATAGAGAGAAAATAAAGAGAACCAATAGTAAAAGAGGCAATACCAATATTCTTCTCACAGAAACCCAGAGGAAATCAAAGATAAAAACAGAAAAAACTGGAGATGTGTCTAAAGACCCCCAAAATATGTTTTTTTAATTGGTTTTTAAAAGCCAATGTGTTTCCTGGTGGGCTAGCAGTGGTTCTCAACTTGTGGGTTCCCGGATGTTTTGGCTTTCAACTCCCAGAAATCCCAACAGCTGATAAACTAGCTGGGATTTCTGGGAGTTGTAGGCCAAAACACTTGTGGACCTATAGGTTGACAACTACTGGGCTATAGAAAATCATTTAATCTACAGATCTGAAATAACTCTTGGGAATATACACAAGTCAAAAAGCATTGGACTTCTTGACTGCTAGCCTTTGTTTAGAATTGTCAGACATGTCTTCAGGTTTTGTTTTGGGTTTTGGGGTTTTTTTTTAATTTCATTGGACGTTCTCCAGTTTCTTCTCCAGTTTCTTCTTTTGCCATCAAATAAAACACAATATGCCTCTGACTACTTTTGGCTCTCAGCGAGTTTCAAATCTCATATGGCCGCACCACAGGCATCCATTTGTCATCTCTCACCAATGGGTCATGAACAATAGAGTGGCTGATGCAAAACAGGAATCTTTGGATGGTCGTATAGCAGAAAATTTCAGCAAGTGGTACCTTGTTGCGCTGGCTGAAAATGATGAAATACTACATCTGTCATGCCTCCTGAATCTTCTGCAAAACTATTATTCAAAACCTAGGGGTTTTCTCTTCTTTCAAATCCTTTGCCTAACAAGGAACTAGTTTAAACATTAACCATTAGAAAACATTTGTGCCTAGTTCCTTTGTTTTCATGCTATTTCCAGGGTTATGCTTCCAAAACACAAGTGTGAACTGGCTGTGGGCTTCAATGTCTCCAACTAGAAACACATTCAAGATTGGAAAAGGGCACACTAATCCTAGGCTGTGCTGCTTTTCGGTGAAAAAGGAAATCAGCAATACAGTTCTCCTATGAAATAAAAACAAGTTCTTCTTTCCTCTGCCAGGATGAATTTATCTCAGCTTTCCGACAGGCCGAGCGTCGGAAAAATGCCTTGTCGGTGACAAATTCTTCCATGAAGGTCCTCTTCCAGCCAGGCACTGATGTCATTGAAGACCTGGCTATTTTTTATGGAGGCATTAGTGGTACAACTGTGAGTGCAAGAAATTCCTGCCTGCAACTCATTGGAAGGTATGGAAATGTTAAGTTTCATTAAGGCAAAACTGGTTCCATTAAGGCAAGGCAATGTCAAGCAAAGTCCCAGTTCTGGTCAGGCCAAGGTGAGGGTTAATTTCATGGACAACCTCACTGGGAGATACTCAAGTTTGCAACAGATAAGAACAACATTATCCTGGGGTTTTCTGGGCGAAGTCCATAGAGTGTGTCTGTAGCAACAACACATTCTTAGGCCAGATGGCATGATTTCTGGGCCAGAGTGAAGAGAGAGGAGGCCAGAAGACAGTTCCATCTTGCTAATAATATAATATAATGTAATATAATATATTGTACATACATAAAATATTTATAATATTATAATCTAATACAATATAATACTACTAATAATATGATATTATAATTATATATTTTCTATTACATGTAATATTACTAATATTATTACAATATAATGTATGTATATATATCTTGTAAGCCACTCTGTGTCCCCTTCGGGGTGAGAAGGGCGACATAAAAATGTCGTAAATAAATAAATAACTTTCAGCATATCCATTTGGAAAAGCTTATTCCTATCTCATCCACCCTACCTTTATCTACACTACTAATAAGTGTCTTTTTGCACAATATCCTATGTCCCCCCAGAAACTGGAATGACCAGTTCCTTGATGAAGCTTGCAGGCTAATTCTTGAAGAAGTTGTTGTGTCTCCTTCGGCACCAGGCGGGAAAGTAGAATATCGGCGCTCCCTGCTTGTCAGCTTCTTCTTCAGGTTCTACTTGGAAGTCCTGCACTGTTTAAAAATGATGGTAAGGAGAATGATACCCTCCTCGGTACATGTTCACTTCATTACCTTCCTTTCTCAATTTCTGGAACTGGAAACTGGCCATCCTAAATCCTTCAGTGTTCTATAGTTATAGAGACCTGGAGGACTTGGCAAATTTAGTTCATTTGTTTCTAGTGAGAAGGCTGAGAGATGCTGTTGAGTGGAAAGTGATTTTGAATTCAAGATAGTAATAACAACATTCTGACTATTGGGGATTTTTAAAATATCTCCAGGAGCTCCCATCAGCCTAAGCTAGCACAGCCATTGCCAGGATTTATGGGAGTTATAGTGTAGTGGGGCAGAAAGGAGGATATTGACCTTCGCACTTCTGTTTTAGATAACTGCAACTTGATGTGTCGCCCTATTCCAAAGAAACCTTGGTTTATCTTACCTATGATTAATGGAAGCAACCTCAGACACAATTTATGGAGTGGCCTTTTATTTGTGAACTCTAGCTTAAAGCACTAGGACAGTGGCGCAGCTGGCTGGGAGTCAGCTGCATTAAGATCACTACTGACCAAAAGGTCATGAGTTCGAAGCTAGCCCGGGTCAGAGTGAGCTCCCGACCAAAATTGTGTAGCTTGTTGTCGACCTTTGCAACTCGAAAGGCAGTTGCATCTGTCAAGTAGGATAATTAGGTACCAGTTTGTGGGAAGGATAAATTAACTGATTTACAAGGCCATAAAAATCTCCAGGAAGTATGCAAAGAATGAGGAAGCGGCAGCTCCCCTGGTGGCCAGAAGCTGGAAAGTTAATAGCTTCTGAGTGTCTGTCTATATATGTTGTGTGTCTATGCATTGAATGTTTGCCATGAATATGTACATTGTAATCCGCCCTGAGACCCCTGTGGGGTGAGAAGGATGGAATATAAATACTGTAAATAAATAAATAAATAAAAACTACAATAGAATCTCACTTATCCAACATAAACAGGTCAGCAGAATGTTGGATAAGCAAAACTGTTGGATAATAAGGAGGAATTAAGGAAAAGCCTATGAAACATCAAATTACGTTACGATTGTTTTTGTTTATTTATTTGCGGTATCTATATACCGCTCTTCTCAACCCCAGAGGGGATTCAGGGCAGTTCACAGTGTTGGCAGCAATTCAATGCCAACGATAAAAAAACAGTATAAAACATCAAAATTGATCCTCCCCTGATAAAACATTAAACATTATTAAACACATCACATAAAATAACATCACATTTGACAAATTTTACAAATTAAGCACCAAAACTTCCTGTTTTACAACAAATCGACAGAAAGGGCAGTTCAATACACTGTGACGTTATGTGGTAATTACTGTATTTACAAATTTAGCACCAAAACAATTGCATTGAAACAGGTGGGGAACTGTGCAGGGGGCAGACTGCATTGGATGATACAGAATGTTGGATGAGCGAAGGTTGAATAAGCGAGTCTCTGTTGTATAATGATGAGTTCAGACAACACTCTAAACTGGCTAATCTAAATTAGAGGTGAAAGTTTCGAAGCACCTCATGCCATGCTGAGAAGTTGAGGAAAGGGAGAAGTCAATGTAGAAAGCTTCGGCTTGTTTACATAATGCTAAACTATAATGTAGTATGCACATATGAATGAGGTCATTTTGGCTTGAGATATATGAGTGTTCCTCTCAAAAGTCAATGCTGAAAATGTTATTATACCAAATGTTGATGTGATATAAATGTTAGTAGAATAAGAATAATTTCTTAAAATTATCTTCTTACAGTATCCCTTCCAATATCCTGACTTGCCAAAAGAATACATGAGTGCCTTAAGCCAGTTCAAAGAGAAGCCACCTCAAGGCATGCAAATATATCAGGTCGGTGGAGTTTGTTTCATAACATTTGGTCCACAAGTAAGCATGGTGTTATATCTCTTTATTGGCATTTACATTAGTACCTTTTTCTGCTGTGCCCTGCTTGACAAGAGAGCATCCCCTGCTATTTGCAGTTGCTGAGGCTCGGAAAAGTTGAATTTGGAAACTTTTATGGACATGACACTAGTGCCACAATCATAAGTAGATAGGCTTTGTGAATATGAATCAGTTATAGATCCATAGCAGCCATTGTCATTCTAATTCCAATTCCTAGTGATATAGAATGGTTTATAACAGGGGTCCTCAAACTAAGGCCCGAGGGCCGGATATGGCCCTCCAAGGTCATTTACCCGGCCCTTGCTCAGGCTCAACCTAAGTCTGAAATTACTTGAAAACACACAACAACAACAACAATCCTATCTTATCGCCCAAAAGCAGGTCCACACTTCCCATTGAAATACTAATAAGTTTATATTTATTAAAATTGTTCTTCATTTTAATAAATATAATTATTGTATTGTTTTAAGTGTTTTTGCAGTACAAATAAGATATGTGCAGTGTGCATAGGAATTCACTCATGTTTTTTTCAAATTATAATCTGGCCCTCCAGCAGTTTGAGGGACTGTGACCTGGCCCTCTGTTTAAAAAGTTTGAGGACCCCTGGTTTATAAGAAACTTATAAGACAATGGCCCAGTACTAGAGAACAATGACTGGAAACCACCTTGCCTTGTGTCTACATCAATTGTATCTATGAAAATGGAAATCCCAGGACTGACTGACTTTCTACTGTGTCACAGGATGTAAACCCTTATCAGCTTCCTCAGGACCCAGTTGGGCGTCCCATCATGCTCCAGTCTGGTCTTAAACATGCCACTGGTGAAGCTGTCTACGTTGATGATATTGCTCCAGCGGATGGACAGCTCTACATGGCTGTGGTCACCAGCACACGAGCGCACGCAAAGATACTGTAAGTATTTAAAGGGGACTTTTGCAAGAAAAGTGCAGCTGGGGAGGGACAATTTTTAGGAGTTTCAGAACATATTTTCCCTGTTCTTTGGTGTTTTTGGTTCAATGGTGAAAGGGCTCCAAATGAGAGGTAGATAAAAAGAAAGAAGCAGCAACTCCATATGTTTTAAATTAGGCCCCTTCCACACAGCTGAATAAAATCCCACATTTTCTGCTTTGAACTGGAATATATGGGAGTGTGGACTTGGATAACCTAGCAGATATTGTGGGACTTTCACCTTGATATTCTGGGTTATATGTCTGTGTGGAAGGCCCCTAAGATTACAATGCAATTTGGAAGTACCTGGTGGGTTTATTCAGTGCATCTGGTTCATAAGACTGTATGGAAGTGTGAACCGGCTATTGGGTGATAGAGATGTTTAAAAGGTGAAATGAGTCAGCTGATAAATATGGATCAGTTAGACTTAATCTCATCTACACTGCCATGTCATACAGTTTGAAATTACATTCTGTGACACTGTAGATCAAGCCTTACAGTTTATTAGAAAGCTGATAGTGCAAGGGATGAAGAAAGTCAGTCAATGACAGAAATAAATTAGATTCGGAGCACTTCGGATCGGCTAGGATTATGAGAAAAACATGAAAGAATTAGTGAGATGTTTGAATAAGTTTGGATTGTGACATGTGAAATAAGTAACATTAAGAACTAAGTCTTGAAATTCTGTAAACAAGTAATCTTCAGCTGTATATTGAACTTGTATTTGATACATTATTTTTATTATTGTGCCTCTGGGACCACTACAATAGTGCTATTAGTGTGCCTGTGATGGCAGTATTGATTCAAGGGCAGTGGTGCCCAGAAATGATACTATTAAAATAAAGTGTCACACGGGAACCACAAGGATATCTAGAAGACCCTCATATGTAGATCCAAAGCAACAGGGATAATTAGAAGTATTCACATTTGGTGGCAGTGATGAGATAGTTTGAGCTATGGCAGTCAAAATGGAACGAAAGTGACACTTTGTAGTGTGATTACTCTTGTTATTGTAAATTTTGAAACCAGACAACTTGTGTAGATTTATGATGTCTACATGTTTAATGTTGTCCTATTAGTTTGCCATTTTAACCTCATATTAGCTTAACAGAAAACAACAGACATATATAGAAAATATATAGACGTGTGTGTGAAATTCATTCCTATCGTCTCTACCATTTCTTTTGTGTCTTCCACTACTTCGGAAGCACGAAATGAGAAGACTGTGTCTTCCATTTCTTCTTTCGTGTCTTCCATTTCTTCAAAAGCACAAAACAGGAAGATCCCTCCCCACACGAAAATCTACTTTACATGAAAGCCTGCTTTTGTGTGCATCTGTACTTGCCTCCTTGCCTTAGAAAGAGTGTAAGGGTGTGGCAGGCAGGCAGGCCTGGAGCTCAGCTGCAGGCATGCTCAGGGCCTGCCTGCATGCCCCGGCACACATGTACTCTCAGAAGGTTTGGCGGGGGTGTGTGTCACGGGGCATGCATGACAGGGCATGCAGGCAAGCCCGGAGCATGCCTGCAGCTGAGCATCTCTTAATCTAGAATAAGAGATGCTCAGCTGCAGGCACTGGCAGGCATACGCGCTTTCTGGGCCTGCTTGCATGCCCTGCCACACACACACTCACACTTTCCAAAAAGAGTGCATGTGTGGTGGGGCATGTAGACAGGCCCAGAATGTGTGTGCGCCTGCCAGTGCCTACAGCTGAGTGCCTCTTACTCTAGAGTAGAAACAGCAGGTGCCAGGTAAGAAAAATGCACACCAGAAAGGGGAGTCAGTGGGCGGGAAGACCCCTCCTCCATAATGGTCCAGTTTCCGGGCCCCGAAATGAAAGAACCAAAAACAACCCTCCCAATTTCAGGAGGCTTACGAAAAACGTATTGGAGCCTCAATAAAAGCCGGGACATGAAATAGGCCAAGGTTTACTCCAAATTCACATGTCTAATAGAAATTAAATGTCAGCTTTTTAAAAATGAATTGGAGATAATCTAATTTCTGGATTGGCAGTTTGCTCATTTGGATGAAGATTTTAAAAGGAAATAATTGAATGGCAAAAGAATGATGTTATATTATATCATAGCACCTGGGAGGTACCCTTTTCATGATTTGAAATTCCATCCTTGGTTAAGTTTTCTTCACATTTAATCTGGGCAAAGTACAAAAAAAATAGACTTGCATATTTTGAGGGGTTTTTTTTAATTACCTATTTTTAATTGCAGGACTATGCATTTCTTCTAATCATTCCCACCCATTACCTAAGAGGAGAGTTAGCTTTTATTTTTTATCCTTTCCATTTTAAATCATAAGCAGGCACATATATTCACCAATTTATCTAACCCTTAGAATACACCCTTTTTAATGCCCTTTACTTTTTCAGAAGAACTCAATGTATGGGAGTTCAAGCTAACCAGTTCCATAGAAGGAAAATGATAACTTGTTGTAGCTGCAACCATCACTGCAGGTCTTTGCTGAGAAATGTTGAAGAAATGTTGAAGGGCTCCATTTAACACTGCATGAGCCAGTTTCCACTTGGCTATACATTTAGAGTTCCTCTAAATGTATAGCCAAAACCAAATTTGATTTAAAGAGTAAGAACTGTGAACAAGGGAAGGCAGAAGAGGTCTCAAAATTGCCTCTAACTTGGGCAACAGACAGATCAACAGATCAAAATTCTTTCTGTGGCATTCTCTAAATTATAGCAAAGACCTAGAAATAAACATCATTACATATCATTAAGCTATATTATTTAAATGAGTACCCTGAATGAGGAGCCCCTGGTGGTGCAGTGGGTTAATCCCTTGAGCTGCTGAACTTTCAGATCGAAAGGTCACAGGTTTGAATTCAGGGAGCAGAGTGAGCTCCCGCTGATAGCCCCAGCTTCTGCCAACCTAGCAGTTTGAAAACATGCAAACGTGAGCATATCAATAAGTACCGCTCCAGTGGGAAGGTAACAGTGCTCCATGCAGTCATGCCAGACACATGACCTTGGAGTTGTCTATGGACAACGCCAGCTCTTCAGCTTAGAAATGGAGATGAGCATCAACCCGCAGAGTCGGACATGACTGGACTTGATGCCAGGGGAATACCTTTACCTATCTTGAATGATGTGCATAATATAATCTCTTCTCTTTGTGTATGGTGCAATTCATCTCTTTTGGTATTTCTATCGTAGCCCTCGTGCATAGCTGTCATTGCCTGACATCTGCTGATCTTTTCGTTGTAAAATGCACCAGAGACATTCCAAGAAGAGATACAAGAAAATTTCAAAACACAGTTTGAAAATGATCATAGGATAATGTTGACTGGGCTGCCTCAAAACCATGCTGTTACCATGCTGTATAATATATAATGTTCGGGCTGAAATGGCCAGGATAAAAATGACGTAAATAATAAATATAAATAAATAAATAAAGCCACTCAATTTCATATTGGTTGGTTCTTGTATAGGTGATCTACATTGGAGACATTATCTGTGGTATAGTTGCAGAGACCTACGAATGTGCAAAGAATGCCAGAAGCAAAGTGAAGATAGAGTATCAAGATCTGGAACTGATTCTGACCATTGAGGTAAAACCCAGTGTGTGTTTGTGAAGATTCGTGGCACTTCTTTTGTATTCTGCCTGCCTTAGCTGGTGGTGGAAATAAGATGAACCTTACAAGTTCAGAACAAGGGTATGTCTAACCTGGCATGCTATTCCTAATAGTGACCAGTCAGATGGTGTTCATTTAACTAATAAGCCCTCCATTAAAACATGAAGGCAACAGGTCTCCACTGTGTTTGGCCTTCCCAGCAAGTGATTCCATATACCCACCATACTTGGCAATCATGACCGCAATAAATGTGCCTACTTCACTTTTGGAGATATCCCAGCCTGTAGCCACCACTATATCTTATGGATGTGGTTCCAAAATTGATTGAGGTTTTTGATTGCTGGTGCTATTTTGCTGATTATTTTCTGCAGATGAGTTTGAATTCACCTGTTAAAAGGAGAAACAAAACATGTCCCTATCAAACTTCTTCAAATTATGCGTAGCGTTTTAGAAATCTGCCATCATCCAGTCTTATCTGCCCTCCATCTAGAAAAGTGGTGACACTTCCATACAAGGAAACTGTTGTGATCTCTTGTTAGTTTCCATTGCCCCTTTTCTTCCCCTCCAACAAAGGGAAAAATTCTACAGCTATGTGCAAAATCATATCTCAAGCACAAGAAAATGGAATATTTAGCACCAGAGCAGAGAACTTGATGAGAAATACTAAAAGGGACTTCTGCTCTTTATACATTTATTGGTAGAACTCTCAAATACAAAGTAGTGTGGACTGAAAGTATTTCATATCTACTGCCTACAATACATATAAATTGATCTAATCAATAAATTGTAGTTAGGTTGGGGATGGGGGGGTGCGAAATTATAGATTTTGCTGAGGATAAGTCAACAGTAATGTCATAACTGATTGGCCCTGAGGCCATATCACCATACCAAACTAAACAACAAGTCATACGTCTACAGTAAAACAGTAAAAAGCAAGAAAAACTACTGCTCCTAATAGCAACCAACTCTACTGACCTCCCTCACTTGGAGAGAGGAAACTAGTACATATAGTAATTACTGATAAAATGTGTTGATTTTGTTGGACCAGCAGGTTCATCAATAAGTTTATGTCTTCAGGATCACTTGCTTCAGGCTAGCCCCACCTTAAGATTAATTTACTGTATATACTCAAGTATAAGCCTAGTTTTTCAACCCTTGTTTTAGTCTGAAAAAGTCTCCCTCAACTTATACTCGAGTCAAAGTTATTTATTATTTTACTCTGTCATTGTTGTTGTTGTTGTTGTTACATTTATTATTTTACTCTATTATTATAGTTATCATTTTACTTTATTATTATTACATTTATTATTTTATTTTATAAGTGTTATCATTAAATTTATTATTTTATTCTATGATTGTTATTATCACATTAATTATTTCATTTTATTATTATTATTCCATTTATTATTTTACTGTCTTTATTATTATTGGAAGGATACGTAAGCACATTTACATTGAAGAAGGTTAGGGCAGTCTTATCTTAAATAACAATTCTATATAAATATTCAAAAGCATTTAACCAACTAATGCCTCAATTAATGTAATTTTATTGGTATCTATTTTCATTTTGAAATTAAAAAGTAGCTTATGAATTTTTCACCCTTGGCTTATACTTGAGTCAATCCGTTTTCCCATTTTTGTGGTAAAATTAAGTGACTCGGCTTATATTCGGGCCGGCTTACATTCGAGTACATACGGTAATCTAAGACCTCATCAGATGGAGGTCCAGAAGCCAGGGAACAATGGGGGAAACTGTGGGGCAGCACCCAGCTTCGTCCCCTTACCATGGTTGGTTGTGAGCTTCCATCCCATGACATTTCCCAGCTGTCCTTGCCTTCTTCCTGTGCTGACCCCAGCTTCTTCAATGAGGATACAGGTAGTCACCCATATTCTCAGTGTTCCCGCTTAGTGAGCTGCCAGCATGCTGCCAGGACTGAGCCCAATGGAGCCCCCCAGGAGTAGCTCTGCATCATATGATGGGCTCCGATAGACTCCGTCCTGGCAGCAAGCCAGCAGAGCACTAGGATGGGAAAAAACACCCATCTGATGAGGCCATTAGAGAATAATGCTACCAACACACAATTTGGTGTCCCAGATGTTGGCTCAGTTTCTGGGTACCTGCTGCTACATTTTCCAGAAATTGTACTGATTTTCCCTTGTCGGCTCTAGTTTTTTAGATGCAGAACATATGCCATATACGAATCTTCATCTACTTGCCCATAGAAAATCGTGATAGCCATATCTAAGAAACTAAGCTGATGTGGTCTATCCAATGCAGTTTTATAAATCAGTACCCCCAAATAACCCCAGGAACAGGCCTAAAAACCAAGACCCCAAGTTTTGACTTGCTTTTTGGTTAGGCTGTGTGCGTAATCATTTGAAATCAGAGAATACAAAAGTTACATCCTCGCACAAGCAAGCTAGCTGCCATATTAACTCATAGCCTGTAGGAGTTTCATTTCAACAAAGTAACTTTTAAAAATTCTGCTCATGCCTTATATACTTTATAGAATTTGGCATTCAGTGCACAAGAAAAGATCATATTGTTCAGTTCAGGTTAGGCAATCAGCTTGGTGAAGACATAATGGGAAAGAATGTCAACACATTGCAAAGAACAACAATGATCATAGCAGCTTTTTAGGTACTGTTCCATTATCCCAGTGGAGGCCACAAAGTGGTGCTAAAGAGAAAAGGTTAGTGTATTTTACGAGTGGGGGGGTTGAAGGAGGAAAACCATTTTCCCCATTTTTGATGGTTATTCCCCCTCACCACAGCCCTCCTCATAAAGGAGGGTTGTTTCCACAACGAGGATATGGGTGGGGAGAATAACAGGGAAACAGGAGGAAAACCCTATGAAATGGACTATCCTTCTCTCTCCAGCTCCCCCTTGTGGCCTCCACCTGGAACAGTACCACATTTTATATGTTCCTCTTTTCCCCTCTTTTATAGGAGGCAATAGAGCATAATTCATTCCTGACAGAAGAAAAGAAAATAGAAAAAGGAAATGTTGAAGAAGCCTTTGAGACAGTTGACAAAATCCTGGAAGGTAAGTCACTACCAATCACTACCTGAATGCAATCCTACTGCAAGGTAGATTCATGAAATGGTACACATGTCACTGAAATGTAGCACTGAAGAGTTTCTTTTTACAAACCAGAAAAATTCCCTTAGATGAAAAGCATAGCATTGGATATTGTTGTACCTCAGTTAAAAAAAAAACTTGCTATATAAATCTTTCCTTTCTCTGAAGAAGTGTTTATTGCTTAATCTGTATTGTTCTTGGATGTCCTGAATATAGTTTCCTATAGTTTCCTGCCCCCAGTGGCGCAGCAGGTTAAACCGCTGAGCTGCTGAACTTGCTGACCAAAAGGTTGGCAGTTCAGATCCAGGGAGTAGAATGAGCACCCACTGTTAGCCCCAGCTTCTGTCAACCTAGCAGTTCAAAAACATGCAAATGTGAGTAGATCAATGGGTATTGCTCTGGCTCTGGTGGGAAAGTAACTGAACGTCATGCAGTCATGCCAGCCACATGACCTTGGACCTACAGACAACACCAGTTCTTCAATTTGGAAATGAAATGAGCACCACAGAGTCGGACATGACAAGACTTAATGTCAAGGGGAAACCTTTACCTTTATATTTAGTTTATGTTCATGTAACTATCAAGGCATAGATAAAATAAATCCAGTATTACAATGTGCATTTTTAAACAGGTGAAATTCATGTTGGGAGTCAAGAACATTTTTACCTGGAAACAAATAGTGTATTTGTCATTCCAAGAAAAGAGGATAAGGAGATGGATCTTTATGTTTCTACACAGGATTCTTCAAGTGCACAGGTAAGGTGACCCAAAACTTTGGCCCTCAATATGGAAAAGATGTGCCATGGTTTCAGCCAGGAATCAAATAACTTTTTTGAAAGTGTTGCAGCTGGATGTTGCCAAAATGATTCAAACAATGACAAGATTAGGTTCTTGTGGGTTTTTTCGGGCTATAGAGCCATGTTCTAGAGGCATTTCTCCTGACGTTTCGACTGCATCTATGGCAAGCATCCTCAGAGGTTGAGAAGGTCAAGATTAATCATGACCAATTGCTGTAAAAACAGTTATAAAACATGAAGGTTTGAAAATTCAAAACATAATATCAGATGTTCAATTTACATACAATAGAGTCTCACTTAGAATAATAAATAATAAACTTTATTTATACCCCGCCACCATCTCCCCTAACGGGGACTCGGGGCGGCTAACATGAGGTCAAGCCCAAACAACAAATTACAATAAAATAAAATACAAATTACAATAAAATAAACAACATTGCAGTAAAGTACAAAACATATAAATACAATAAACAACATACACAAAACATAAAAAGCAGTAAACCAAACATAAGGACAGTGAGTGAGCCTCATGTACATAAAATGATTTAAAAACTCAGGGTGAGATAAAGGAGCAGAATTATTTGTAAAGGGCCAGCAGAACGTTGGATAAGTGAAAATGTTGGATAATAAGAAGGGATTAAGGAGAAGCCTATTAGACGTCAGATTACATTATAATTTTACAAATTATACACCAAAACATGTTTTACAACAAACAGACAGAAAAAGTAGTTCAATACACAATAACGTTATGTAATAATTACTGTATTTACAAATTTAGCACCAAAACAGACAAGGATTCTTTCTTTCTCCTACCCTGGACATTATTCCAGGTGGGAAGCAGGCTGCGTTGGATAATATAGAAGGTTGGATGAGTGAAGGTTGGATAAGCAAGACTCTACTGTAGTAGTATTACAATTATTAGAGTCCAAGAATGGTAGACCATTAAGGATGAAGTAGTCAAAGACATCATCATCTCCATCGTTTATCTAATGAAAGGGACTAGTGTCCACCTTTCTGGTACTATGATTCTACTTTGCACAGTTCTAGGACCTCCTCACACTTGCCACCAAAATTGCTACAAATTGCCGTGAATCATGACAATTGCAGTGGCACCCACCTAGGGGAGTGTGGGAACCATGCCCCACCCTGTCCCAGCTTCCCCCATCTCATCACATTGGCAGGAAGTGTCAGGCAGTGGCTCGACCCGTGGATCTCTATAGAAAGATGGAATGCCTCCCCTCTTTCACCACTGACTATTTTTTGGTGGCAGCGATGGGTGTTTAGCAGTTTTGCCATGGAGCCGCCCAGAAAGAACTTCCCCAGAGTGTGATGGGAGTCAGCAGGCTCCATGACAAAACTGCTAAACACCTGTCGCTATCACCAAAAACAAGCCTGTTTGAAGAAGCCTAGTGATACGATCCCACAGTTGCACCCAAGGCCTGGAGCATCTCTTCACCCAGCACCACACCAGAGGCCAATAGTCCAATAATAAAGAGTGTATTGGATAAAGAATAATAAAATGGGGAAAGAGTTATATCCAAAAGTAGCAGTCAATATATAACCAGCAATATACAAAAGCAGTCCATGTTCAGTAAAAGTCTTTAAGAAATCCCAGGAAACCTCACAGGAACTAGAAATCCAAGAAAATTCTGAGGATGAAAATGATGAAAATGGAGTGCCTGAATGTGTCCAGGGAGATACTGTGGAAAGTCAGGGAGATTTACAGCAGGGAGATTTCCAGACAGATCAGCATGACCTGGCTGATGTTGTGCATAACAGAGAAAGTGAAGCTGAAGTTTCCAAGGTAAAATTCAGGAACATACGAACAGGAAACTCATCCAGGCAAAACTCTTCCAAGGTACATAGGCAAAAGCAGGAACATGAAACAAGAATCTTGACATTACAAGAACCAAAGACTTGAAAACTTGACAACATGAACCGAAGACAGTTTCCCCACTGCAAAGTTGTCTCCTCTGAATTGTTTAGCATCAAATTTAAACCCGTCCAGGCTCCCATAAAGTCATATCTGTAACACCTGGATTTTTCAGCCTTATCTTGAAGGCACGGGGAGGCCCTATCTATTTCTCTTGCACTGTTTTCTGAGTTCCAATCTACATTCCCTGGTGACCTCTTCACCATCCCCATCTTCTCAAGGTCTTTTCTCCAGGGAAACTTCAGCTTCACTTTCTCTGTTATGCACAACATCAGCCAGGACATGCTGATCTATCTGGAAATCTCCCTGCTCCCTGACTTTCCACAGCATCTCTCTGGACACATTCAGGCACCCCATTTTCATCATTTTCATCCTCAGAATCATCTGTCTCTTGCTAGGCTACAACACCCACTCTGCCATGGCTGATCCAGAAACACCAAAGGAGCTCACTGTCAGAAAATTTAAAGACTAACTGCCTACCACAAGTTGTCATCTAAAGTGAAATGATGATGCTGGAATTGTAGAGTATGAAAAGCTCCAGAAAAATATGGGAATAATGAAAGCTGATGACTATTCAGCTTCCCGTCAGCCTATCTTTGACCTGTTTTGCTTCATTTCTTGTAGGGTAAATTTCTTGTAGAGATGCATCCTTTCTGTATGTGCATTCACTAGAGTGTGAGACTGAAATTGAGAGAATAATTCCCTCCTCCCCCAGAATGTTCGAATAAACCTCTATTTATCACTTGTAATTACGTAACCATCAGCTAATTAAATATCACATTCCAGAAAAGATTCTAATATATAGGAATAATAAACACTTAACATTAGTATCCGTGAACCCCAGATTGAGAACCACTGCTTTTAAACATATTTTTAGTTTAACTTTCCCATCTTGAAATATTATACTGTAAAATAATATGAGGTTGCAGTTTCTATTCTGCTGCTGTTTGGCAAAATAGTTGTGAAGTTTGAAGACTTAACCTTGAGAGGTGTTATGTTTGAAGTTGCTATTATCTTGTGTTGGGTTGTGTCACAATATATCTCACAGTTATCATCTGGCATTCTTCCCTTGGTCTGCTGGAGCCACCGTGTTCTCTTTTCCTGAGAGTTTAACACTTAGATTGTTACAAAGCTGGATTAATCTTTGATTTGTATTAGCTATTTGGATGCCTCCTTTTGTGTAGATCATTATTTTCAAAAGGAAGACGCATTTATATTAGTAGCCAGAGTCACAAAGCGCTCTTGTCATTGATTTCCAATCCCATTTCTTTTAACAGATTCTGCTGCCAAGTCTTGACTTCCATTTTTCTTTTCAAAGAAGATTTTGTGTTTGTAGATATATATATATTTAAAAAGTGTTGAATCCCTTTTTCTAGGTATTGGTGGCTTCAGTGTTAGATGTTCCAGCCAATAGGATCACGTGCCACACAAGACGAGTGGGAGGAGCTTTTGGAGGCAAAGCATTAAAAACTTCATATTTTGCAGCAGCTGCAGCAGTAGCTGCCCATAAGTAAGTGCTGTCCTTCTCTATAGTCTCACTAACCAAAATAAAACAAAGGGTATCAAATTGGCCTGAGAGGCCAAGAGGGATTCTCACTGTATTGTTGAAGGCTTTCATGGCTGGAATCACTGGGTTGTTGTAGGTTTTTCAGGCTATATGGTCATGTTCTAGAAGCATTCTCTCCTGACGTTTCACCTGCATCTGTGGCAAGGATTTTTGCCATAGATGCAGGCAAAACATCAGGAGAGAATGCTTCTATAACATGGCCATATAGCTGGAAAAACCTACAACAAGCCAGGATTCTCATTCATCACCAAGATTGGTAAAAGATTCAGTGGCCACTTCAGCATGTCTTTGTAACTGGAATGGAAGAGAGAGCCATTGTGTTCTTCACCTGAGCACTGCTTGGCCCTGTCTCACACGCCCTAAGACAGAACATTCATATTTTGTAACTCAAGGATATCCAGTTAGCAGCTACACTTTGTTTTCCCAGCAGCTTATCTTGAAGCCTTTGTTTTGATTTAGAACTGACCGTCCTGTCCGTTTTATCCTGGAGCGAAATGATGACATGCGAATCACTGGAGGTCGGCATCCTCTTCGGGGAAAATACAAAGTAAGTAGTACTTATTCCAACAAGTCCTGGTTTATTTACATCAGTGGTTCCCAACCTTTGGGCCTCCAGGTGTTTTGGACTTCAACTCCCAGAAATACCATCCAGCTTACCAGCTGTTATGGACTGTGGGAGCTGAAGTCCAAAACACCTGGAGGCCCAAAAGTTGGGAACTACTGATTTACATGAAAGTCTTCTCTGTGTGGGCTGATGGCAAGCTAGAATTTGCATGTGTCCACTGTTTCTGTTAATAAGCTGCACAAGATCAGTAACAGTCTCCAGGCACTTTTCCAGGATAGGAAACAACTGTCCCCTACCCCGATGTGCTTGTTTTAATGTTTAATGCTCTTCTTACTTTGGCAAGAAGATGCATGTAACACTTTCGTCACACTAGAGAAAAAATCCACTTAAATTCTGTTTTCTGCCTCCTTCAGAATTCTGGGGTTTGTAGTATAGTGAGGCTGTTAAAGGCTCCTCCCTAAACTACACACCACAGAATTCTGCAGGAGGCAGAAACCAGATTTTTCTCTCTAGTGTGATAAGGCCATAAGACAGTCTTCTCCCACATATGGCAAGTGTCTGGGTCCATGGAGGGGACTGCCAGAAGAACCAGCACACAAAGAAGCTTCCTGTGAAATTGTCCTGCCAAGAGCTTAACAACCATATGTTTGGTTATCACGATTTGATATAATAGCAAGTAGGCCTGGTCAATCCATGGTTCTAAATGGTTCTAAAGTACTTACAAAACTAAAATTCTGGTGGTGAAAATTTCTGAACTCCATCAGAACTCTCAAAATTTCATTATAAATGGCAGTTCCTAATTGGTTCTATCATAAAACTTATCAATAATGAAATAATTAAATTTTGAAAGTTTTGTTAGAGTTCTGAAATTTTCACCACCAGAACTTTAGTTTTGTACTTTAGAACCATTTAGAGCCATGGATTGTCCAGGCCTAATAGCGAGTTCCACTTTCCTCCTCTCTCTTTTTATTCTTTTGAATATTCTTTTGTGATATAGTACACCAAAAGACTCAACTTTGACTATTGTTAAATGCTTTGTAGCAAGCTGATGTTATATGCCGTTGGACAAAGAATGCCACATAAAAGTATTTTTTTATCCAATTGTTAATCTTTTAAATACAGGGAATAGATGAGGATGAAATGACTGTGTCTCATGAATACAATGTATTAATATGTTTTCAGGTGGGATTCATGAGTGATGGTAAAATTAAAGCTGCTGATCTGGAGTTCTATATAAATGGTGGCTGTACGGTAGATGATTCTGAATGGGTAAGTGTTTTCCTTGAAAGTGGCATGAAATTGTGTTTTCTTTTAATTTATTTGTTTTCAGTGGTTGATGCTGTAATTATGTACAGCAGAACCCACTGAATAATTTTGACAGGTTTTTGCATTTCTTTAGATGTAATGTGTGTGCAATCCCTTAAATCAGGTGTACCCCAGATGTTATTGGATTTCAACCCCAGCCTAAAACAGACAGAGCAAATGTATACTAATAAGGACATCTTCACACAGGGCTAAATAGCTCTGTTTTGCTGCTTTGGTACGGGGCCTGGACAGGGACTGCCAAATGTCATTGGACAACGCTTGGTAGGACCCATCCACATTCCTCCCAAAGTCGGCAGGAAGCATCAGAAGGCACTTCCTCCTTCACCACAAGGAGGAAAGTGTATTTCAGGTAGCTCTGTCAGAGCTACCCGCACTTTCCTCCCCTTTACCCCATGTGATAGGGACAGGGATGGGAGCTAATGCACCCTGTCCCTTCCCCACCATATGATGGTGGAAGGAAGGTGGGTACGCAGGACACCACAAGGCACCCCACGCACCATCCCTTTCACCAGTAACTGTTGGCACAACAGCACGACCCCCCTGGCCATGTGAAGAGGTCCTTGTGATCTGATCGCTGGTCTTCCTACCTCAGCAGTAACTGCATCAGCTGGTAATAGCCCCTGAAGATTTTCAATGTATGTATAGAAGAATTCCTTTGTGGATTAGCATGGTTGCACTGAACCTGCAGGGCTGAGGAAGTGTAGATAAATATATGATATTTTCTTATGCATGGTTGATGGGCTGAGTTGGGCTTGATAGGCCCCATAAATTGGGGAAACATTACCTCAGTATAGCTATTTGTCCTCTTATGGCCGCTTTGAAGCTCCTATATCTTCCCAGATGTTGCTGGATAGTATCTCTCATCACCCCCATGGCTAATTTGACTGACTAGAGCAGCCCCACATTACCTGGAAGTTCCCAATCCCCTCTCTGTAATCAGTGGAATAAGTAAAAGCAAGGGCCAATGCAGACATTAACCTCCGAATGACATCTGATAAGCAACTGATGTGGGCTGGTAGTTTGGAAATGCTCATGGTTGCCACTCTGTGAAGGAAGGAATATGTCACCTGGAGGGCCTTATGTCTAAGTGGACACACCATTCACATACTTTCCTATTTTGTTTCTGTCTTTTTTTGTTTTGCAGATTCAGTAAGGCACAGAATGATTGACAAATTACTGTATTTACACAAATTTAATGCTCACCTTTTTTTGGCTAAATGACCTCTCCAAACTTAGGGTTCACATTAGATTTGTGTCATACTTAGTGCTGAGCCAAAGCCAAAGAGGAAGCTCCTATTTGGGGGATGTCATCTCTCATTTAATTGCCATGGCTCAATGTCAGCAATCCTGGGGTTTTTAGTTTGGTGAGGCATCAGCATTCTCTGGCAGAGATTACTCAAGGTCTTGTAAAACTCTGCCTCCAGGATTCCTTAGCATTGAACCAAGGCAGTTAAAGTGGATTCATTCCACAGCATAGATGCCCCCCAATATTATCTTTCCCATCACTGGAAGCTTTGGCGCTCTAACACTTCTGTTTTGAAGGAAGGGATCCTAAGCAGGCAGAATCTGTAATGTCCACCTTTTTTGGCCACTGCACATTACATTCACCAGCAAATACGTTTTTTGGTTTCAGGTTTTGGTACTTGAGGTGCACATTAGATTCTATATGTTTTTATTTGATTGATTTTAATGCTGTTATTTTTGTATGTGTTTTTGGGCTTGTCCCCATGTAAGCTGCCCCAAGTCCCTTTAGGGAGATGGTGGGATATAAAAATAAAGTTGTTGTTGTTGTTGTTGTTGTTGTTGTTATTATTATTATTATTATTATTGTTATTATTATTAGACACAAAAACTCAGTATGTCACAGCAAACGAGATCTATATGCTGGATTTCATATCACAAAATCACAAATCGAACACTTCCCAAGCGTCTAGGACTGTGTGATGTATTTTTGAATGATGCATGCAGATCCAAGTAAGGTGGCCTTTTGCAGTTGACAGATCGTGATTTTGTCCATGTGTATTGTTTCTGCCAGCTGAGATCTTTTGGCACAGCATCCAGTGTGCCAATGACCACTGGGACCACCTGTACTGGTTTAAGCCAGAGCCTTTGCAGTTCGATTTTGAGGTCTTGATAGCAACTGAGTTTTTCCTATTGTTTTTCCTCAATGCAGCTGTCACCTGATATGGCCACAACAATAATCCAAACTTTTTTTTCTTTTCCACAATCGTGATGCCTGTTGTATTGTGTTCCAAAATTTTGTCAGTCTGGATTCGAACGTCCCACAGTATTTTTGCGTGTTCATTTTCCACTACCTTTGCACGCTTATAATCCCACCAATTCTTTACTGCTGACAGGTGGTACTTGTGACATAAGTTCGAGTGAATCATTTGGGTCACAGAGTTGTGCCTTTGTTTGTAGCCCGTCTGCGATTTTCTTGCAACAGCTGAGGATATGGTCCATGGTTTCATCAGCTTCCTTGCACAGTCTGCATTATTATTATTCGATGGCGCATCAAGTAAATATGGGTAATTGCCTATTCCTGTATTTTAGGTTCTTGACTATGCTTTGCTACAATGTTCTAATGTATATGACATTCAAAACTTCCGATGCCGTGGACGGGCCTGCAAAACTAATCTGCGCTCAAACACGTCCCTTCGAGGAGTTGGATTCGCGCAGGCAGGCCTTTCTGCTGAGACCTGGATAGCAGCTGTGGCAGATTATCTTTACTTGCCACATGATGAGGTAAATACAGGAAGAGCATATATTGGAGGACTCTAATGTTTCATATATAGCTGTCCCTCACCTTGCCAAATCCATGTTTTCTCATTTATATTGCCAAAAATTATAAATTGGTAGGTCTGAGAGTCTTGAATGCTCCCCTCCCTATACACACTTGTCCCCTGGACAGCTTTACTATCTGTTTGTTGCCTAACTGGGATTATAAAATGGAAAGGTTTGGAAAGGGGATAATTAGTAAGTAATCAATTATTTCAAGGGATAATGCAAGTGTTCTTAGTATGTCAGTTCTGATGGTCACAGCCTCTTAGACAGAAAATAAAGTCCAAATTACACCAGATGACATGATCCTTTCTAATATTTATAACATACCAAATATCCATGAATCAACTTGTGTGAAATATTTCTTTTCCTTCTTTGATGGGCAAATTTATTGTAACTAGGATGTTTCCCTAGAGCAGCGGTTCCCAAACTTTGGTTCTCCGGGTGTTTTGGACTTCAACTCTCGGAAATTCCAGCTAGGATACCAGCTGTTAGGAATTGCGAAAGATGAAGTCCAAACACCTGGAGGACCAAAACATGGGACCCACTGCTCTAGAGAGAGAAACAATTGTCTTCTGTTTTCAATTACTGTACAGTTGCTCCCTCAAGTGCTAAAACCTTGGGTCACAGGTAGTCAATATTTGTCATTGCCACTTGCTACTTCATCACACTAAAGAATGAATCCACTTTAAATTCAGTTTCTGCCTCCTGCAAAATTCTGGGGTTTGTAGTATAGTGAGACTGTTCAAGGCTCCTCCCTAAACTACAAACCCCAGAATTCTGCAGGAGGCAGAACCCAGGTGTAAAGTGCATTCATTCCCTAGTCAGATGGAGTAATTGGTTTCAACTGAAATTTATTTCGGTTGAACCAAAACCTAACTCTCTCTGAATTGGGGGGCATGCAGGGCCAGTTCATCTCTGGGAGAAGAAGGCTGAGAGGGGGGTCAGAAATGTCATTGTGGTGGAAACTAGGGCTGGGCAATTCGTTTCGTTAATTCGTAATTCGTTAAAAAATTCGTTATTTTTTGAATTACAAAACGATAACGAATCAGTCTGGAGCAATCTGGAGTAATTTAAAAAAAAAACGAATTTTTAAAGCTGTTTTGTAATTGTTTTGTAATTGTTTCGTTATTATTTCAGCTCCCAAAGCTCTGCGTATTGGTAGTACTCCTTCTTGCCTCTAAGCCCAGCTGGCTGCATTTTTCTCGCTGGTTATAGAATGACATTCTGCTTATACTCAGAAATGATTTGGCATTTAAGGCTGCTTCACTTTTTTCTGCTCCTGCAAGAATAAATGCCCCTTAGGGATGGAGATCAAGATGCCCACTCTGGGGAAGGGGGGAGGAAGGGTGGGGAGAAGCAGAGCCCCCGGGACTCGCCAGGAAGTTGAACCGGGGCCACTGGTTCCTCTCCTGCCTAGTTGCCCCTCTTTCGCCAGCATCGCCAGGAGGCACCAGAGACCCCCAGGGAAAGCCTGGAAGAATCCCGAAAGCAAAACATGCCGTGAAGACGAGGGAGGAAGAGGAGGATGGGGAGGCGATGAACCTACCCGGAAAGCTTGGCGATCTTGACAAAGGTAAACATCCATCCATGCAGCCGCCTGAGCTCTGCCCGCTCGCCTCGCTCGCCCTTCTCTCGCTCACTCCAGCAGCTCCATGCCTGGGAGAAGGCGGCTTGGCAGAGGGCAGCTCTCCTTCTCTTCCTTTCCCCAGCAGAAGCAGCAGCAGCAGCAAACTTTGGCGGGGACGGGAGCTGCCTGCTACCCCCCTCCGGCCGGTTGTTGGGCGTGCAACAACTCGCCGGAGGGGGGTAGCAGCTCCCGTCCCCGCCAAAGTTTGCTGCTGCTGCTGCTTCTGCTTCTTCTGCTGGGGAAAGGAAGAGAAGGAGAGCTGCCCTCTGCCAAGCCGCCTTCTCCCAGGCATGGAGCTGCTGGAGTGAGCGAGAGAAGGGCGAGCGAGGCGAGCGGGCAGAGCTCAGGCGGCTGCATGGATGGATGTTTACTAGCTTTGTCAAGATCGCCAAGCTTTCCGGGTAGGTTCATCGCCTCTCCCGGCGGCCCCAAGAGAGGGAGAGAGAGAGGAAGAGAAGCCTGAAGGGTGGAGAGGAGGAGGAGGAGGAGGAGGGCGCAGGAGCCGGAGCGCTCACCCTTACAATCGGCCCCTCCATTAACGAAGCTTCGGAAGTGGTTTGGCGCATGCGCGGGGGTCCGCCATCTTAACGAATTGATTCGTAAATATTTACAAAATTTTATAAATAACAAAACTTTTTTTTTGAAAATTTTGTAATTAATTTAAATATCGAAACAAAAAAACACCTCAATTACAAAACGATTTTAGAAACAAATTTTTTCTTGATCGGCCAGGCCTAGTGGAAACAAATATTGTTTCTGAAGTGCTGTGTTATCTGTGTAGTAAAAAGTTCTGAAATAGTTAAGGGAGACACTGTGTACATTTACATTATGTCCCACTTTAACTGCCATAGCAACATCCTATGGTGTGCCAATTAAGGGGAGGTGCCTTTGAAATCCTTGGCTGGAGTATGTTCTGCTGGGGACTCTGACCAAACTGCCCATCCCAGGATTCCTTGGAAAACAGCCATGGCAGTTAAAGTTGAATGCAAGCAGAGCCATTCTCATGTCTCAGATTTCTTTCATTGCTGAGTTCATAGGCCAGGCGTTAGCACAGCTGGTTAATCACCAACAGCAATAGATCTTATCAATCGAAAGGTTGGCTGTTCGAAGCCTGGGTCAGGGTGAGCACCTGACCTTCAGCCCAACTTACTGTCCATCTAAGCAGTTCAAAAATAGCTGTGAGCTGTGGGTAGAGGAATTAAGCACCGCTTAAGTGAGGAGGTATTTTACAGCACCATAAAGGAAATCAATGGAAGGAGGAAGTCTGTGATCAAGGGCTCTACATCATAGAGGATGGAGTGACAGCACCCCCCTGTGGCCAGAATAGAGCACAAACTCCAGGACACCAAAGTTGGGGGAAATGCTGACATAATACCTCTATCTGTTGTCTGTCCAGTCTGTTTAATGGCATTGAATATTTGTCATTTATGTGTTCTGTGATCCGCCCTGAGTCCCCTTCACAAGCAACTCCTGGTTTAGACATTCTGAGATGTTTTATTTGTACAGGTTTATTTTATGGCAAGATGACCGAGATGGTTTTAAATGGTGTATTTTAATATTGAGATAAATGTTTTTAATGTTTATGTATGCGTATATGACTTCTTGTCCTGGCATTTAATGTTTGCTGTATATATGCTGTGCTCCACCCTGGGTCCCTTTCGGGATGAGAAGGGCAGAAGATAAATATTTTAAATAAATTTAAATAAATAAAAAGAATAATCCTCATTATGAGACAGGATTTCATCATGAGTGGAGGGAAAGTGCATGTGTCACATGCCATATGCCCTCACCTGCAGGCCCTCTAAGGTTTCCTGCTTCTGACAACACTGGCAGGGATGGAATAAATTCAGCTGCCAATCGTGCCATAACTGTCCTGTTGGGGCACAGTTTTGTATTTTACCCCAGACCAGAAAGTATCCTGAGCCACCTTCAACTGATCCTGGCATCATTCTTCAAGCTGCTTCCCAACATCTTACTGTTTGTGTCCCATCCGCATGTCATGGTGGCATTCCTGTTCATTGCTAATGGGAAGCTCAACCCCTTGGCTCTCGGCTATTCCACATTTATTAAAGGTGGCAGCCAGGTTGCATGGTTCTCTTCTGAGTCCAAAACATCTTGTAATAAATAAATCCCTTTAATAACAACCCCAGTGTGCTGCAATGGTTTGAGTATCAGACTAGGCCCTGGAATACCAAGGTTCAGGTCCCTGCTCAGCCTTGATGACCATTAGAGTGCCCAAGAGTAAAGACTGTAAGATGTTCACCTTGGAGGTACCATACCTCAGAAATGACTTCAAGACACAAAACTATAGCAACCATAAATATGCAGTAACTGATTCTGGTGGTACTGGTAATTAATGTCAAATACAGAAATGTTCAACAATATTTAAAATGTTTATGAATTACTTGAAACAATAAACAGTATGTTATGTGTTTCCATTTAAGGTCAGAGAGATGAATATGTACAAAAACGTGTCTGAAACTCCCTACAAAGAAGAGTTTGATCCTAGACATCTGGTTCGGTGTTGGGAAGAATGTCTAGAAAAATCAGATTATTACAAGAGGCGACAAGCTACAGAGGAATTTAACAAACAGAACTACTGGAAGAAGAAAGGGATTGCAATCATTCCAATGATGTATTCTGTTGGGTATTATAAAAGCTTTGATGTTCCAGAAACCTACACTTCTAAACTATAAATCAGAACACACAGGTGAAAGGCAGTTCCAGTTAGGGTTGGCTTGACGCACCTTTCTCTTTACACGTTTCTCCCTTTTGCCCTCCATTCGTGCCTCTTGGAATTCTGCAGCACTGCTGGTCACAGCTCATCTCCAGTTAGAGCACTCAAGCGCCAGTTCTCGGTGTCTATGCCACAGTTTTTAAGGTTGGCTTAAAGCCATCACATTCTACCAGGATTTAATTTAATCAGTGACATCTAAGTGGGCTTAATTCCTATTTTTCCTTTTTTTTAAATTTGATTTTTCTTGAGAATAAAAGATACTAGAAAAGAGTGGGTTTTTTTTTCTTTTTATTGGGTGAACAATATGCTTGAGAAAAGTATAAATTTTAGAAAAAAAGAGGGGAAAGAAACAGAAAAATGGGAGAAAAGAAAAAAAGGGGGGGGGGACAGTACTTCCAGGTCTGGCTGGGGATCCTTCTTTTGTTTTAGTTTGTTCATTGCTCTCATAGCGTTGGTTCTTTTTAACATAGTTTTTTACATTTCTTTTTAGGTCATTTAACATAGATTTCTATATTTTCATTTTTTAAGAAATCCCTGAATTTCCCCCAGTCTATTTTTTGTGGTTGTAAACTATTCTGGGTGAGTTTTCATGTAGTAAATCCATATTCATGATGTCCATTACTTTTAAGATCCATTTTAAATGGTGGGTGTTTATTGTGACTTCCGTAATTGGGCCAGACTAATCCTTGCTGCTGTTATCAAGTAAATAAAGATCTTATTTGTGTTTTTTCCATCTCAAAATCTGTGTTTCCTAATAAGAAATATTTGGGTTTAAACTCGAATTTCAGCTGAAGGATTTTCTCTATCTTTTCATATACCTGGTCCCAATACCTTTTGATTTTTTTACACTTCTACCACATATGCATAAAGTTTCTGTTATGTTTTCTACCCTTCCTATTTTTCTGTAGGCTTTTGCTCTGGTTCATATCTATCTCGACGGATCAGTGCTAGTGTCCCATGGTGGCTGTGAAATGGGACAAGGACTTTACACCAAGATGTTACAGGTAACAAACAACAAGACAGAATTATACTGGCTATAGTTATAGAATAAATACAGTTTAATAAGTACAACTCTGTTGTCCATTTGGAACTATACAAAAATACATATAATGCCTACTGCTTTATATTTTGTGATTTAAATATTTTCTAACAAGTTTATTCCTAAATGTGCCTTAAATGCAATAATGTTATTTTCCTTCTGTTTGTGGCTCTGTTGTGACTTTTGATAGAAATAATATTTGTGTTTCCTCAACCAAAAAAGGTCGCCAGCCATGAATTAAAAATACCTTTGTCGTATATACACAACTATGAAAGAACTACAGCTACCATACCCAATGCAATTATCACCGCAGCATCAATAGGCACAGAAGTCAATGGAAAAGCAGTACAGGTTTGATGTTTATTTATGGCTATTGTTTCAGGACTTACTAATCTGTGAAGAGACTTAAGTCAGCTAACTTGTCCTACTGATTTGGGTGATTAAACATTTCCACAACAGTGCCTCTATCCCTATCCATGAGAGGGGTTGGGAAGGGTATCTTGACAGTTTGAGACACCCCATTAAAAATGTTAGAAAGGTTTTTTTGTGAAAAAAATGCTTGTTATGCATAAAACAATGTTTTGGAAGCAAAATCTATTTTTGCACAATATTTTTGAAAAAATCAGTGAGGTTTTTTTTGCATGAATATTTCCATCACACACTGAAAAAGGTACAGAAATGCTTATAGGTCTTGCCAAATCCTCATAGTCTTATCTGCTAATGGAAAAGTAAGCAAAGATTTGTATCCTACATACAAGGTTGTACATCCATGTGTATGCATATCGAAATCAATCCATGAAGTTAGATCTGTGGAGGGATGATATCCTATTTTAATTTAGGACATTCCACAATATCAGAGGAAGGACCACCATTCATTGGAGTAACATATACTTTCCATGCAAAAGATCTTAAGTACCAATCATTGCAATCTCCAGTTGAAAGGAAGAGGTAGCAATGTATGGGAGAGACCTTTTAAGCGTCACCCTCGAGCACTAAGGCCAATCAAAGCAAAGATTGTTAGACTACATGGAAAGATAGGTTGAACTTGTATAGGGCAGCTTCTTATTCTCCGACCACTTCATCACATTTACTAAATTCCACTGAGTGCTACACTTAAAATGTGCTAAGCCACTGTGTTCATCACATTAGGTTGGGTTCAAGTGTAGGGTAGAGCATTCTTTGTGTATTTTAAGTGTAGGGAGCAGCATTCTTTTCAATCATTTCAGGAGGTGGTGGGGAAGTGGGATTTTGGTAATGATCTGGATGTTTGTCAATTCTGTAATGTGATGGCATTTGTTGCTCTCAGGTTTAAAATGAAACATTTCCCCAATTTGTGGGAGGAGACAAAGGTATCCTTGTTAGGGAAAGTTCCGCCATTATCTCTTGCTCATCAAGTTTTTACTTTGCAAGAACAATTTCTTTTTTTAAAAAATCAGTGCAGTCTTGGGAGTCATAGTTTTCCAAGGTCCATTCCCTTCTCTTGGCACATTTGCAATATGGAATGAATGGTCTTTCACCCCACTTTAAATGCCAAGGCTCCATGCAGTAGAGTTGTCCTGGGAGTTATAGTTTCCCAAGGTCCATATCCTTCTCTGGGTGGAGCTACACTGTGGAATGAATGCAGTTTGACCTTTCTTTAAATGCCATGTCTCCATGAAATGGTCTTGGGAATTTCAGTTTCCCAAGGTCCATGAACCTTCTCAAGGTGAAGCTACACAGTGAAATGAATGCAGTTGGACCTTACTTTAAATACCATAGCTCCATACTATACAGTCCTGGAATAGTACCTTCTCTATGGGGCAGCAGAGAGAGAGAGTAAATTGCTGCTTTCCCTCCCTCCCTTCTGGAATTAAAGTCACATAACAGCTGACATTTCAAAGAGTGGAGGGTTTTTCCCCACAAAGAACAAGGGTGTGGGATGGTGAGCAATGCCTAGCAATTACAGTGTGATGGTAAAAATCAACTGAAAGAATGCTGAGTACAACTGAGTAACACTGATACATTCAACAGTGGGATGAAGGCAGGGAAATCATCTGTTTCATTTCAAAACAGAGTATGACTGAGCTATATAAAGTTATATATAACTTTAAACATTTTTAATTTAAAATCTTTCGTTAAATCATTATATTGTTTAATATGTTTTATTTTATTTAAACGGTCTTGTTGTTTTTAATCTGTTTTAATGCTACTTATAAACTGTTATGAGATTTATTGATATAGGGTGGGTTATAAATATTTTAACAAATAAATAAATAAATATTATTTACTGATAGCTCTTTTATTTTGATGTCTGTTTCCACAGAAAGCTTGCCAAATCCTCAGAAAGCGACTAGAGCCAATAATGGAAAAGAATCCAGATGGAAAATGGGAGGACTGGGTAAGCATAATATTTTTTTTAAAGTATTTAGTTTCAGCAAGAAAAAAACCATACATCACCAAAGAAGACAAAGAAAAAGAACACACATAAACCAAACAAATATAACATAGTCCAGTTAAATAATAAAAGTAAAGATACTACTTTGATATCTTGTCTAAACATCCCTCTTTCCTTTTGAGGTAGAGGTTCTTCCCTAGTCTTCTTGCATTCCATTTGGTGAAAAGAAAACTGAGGGCCTATCCAGACAGTACCTTTATTGCGGTAACTCCTGTAATAAAGGAAGGGCTGTCCAGACAATGTTCTGGACAGTTCCAAATTAATTTGCTACAAACCAGAAAAACCCTGGTTTGTAGCAAAATAATGAGATACTGGATTTATTCTATGCCTTCTTGGAAGGCGCGGAATAAACCCACTATTTCCAGTGTCTGGACTGCAGTCCAGACACTATTCCCACAGTTTTCCAGACTAAATTAACCCAGTTCAAAGCAGATATTGTTTAAAATAATCTTTATTAGTTTTAGTTAAAAATATACAGTATCTGGTCGGATAGGTATAAGAAGGGGGGGACAAGAGGTAGGGGTAGAGGGGGAGTGGTAGTATAGAGCCAGTTCAAAGCAGATATTGTGGGATTTTCTGCCTTTATATTCTGGGATAGAGGGCTGTGGGAAAGGGCCCTGAAACGCCTAGTTATTATTTTTGTTCACAGAATCAAACTACTACTTCTTCCCTATTTCCTCTAACTTTGAAGGTTTTAAGACCTTTAGAGTCCTTTATTCATGATTCCCATGAATTCCCCATTCATGTTTTATTTATTGGTAGAAATTTTTATACCCTTCCTGTTGTAAGACCCCATCAAAATTGGCAAAAAAAATCACAAGAATTGTGATAATAAGTGCTGGAAATACAAGAAGAACGGCACATTTTACTATACATGGTGGACTGGCAAGAAAATATAAATATATAAAATAAATAACTTTATTTTTATACACCGTATAACAAAAGACGCAAGGCTGCAGACATAATATTATGTCTGGGCAGGATGGATCTTCCCAGAGGTTTTCCTTTCCTTAAAAAAAAAGAAAAGAAAAGAAAAATCCCACCCCTGTGTCTCCAATATGATAGCGAGACGATGATGGATATGTGTTATGGTGAAGTGAACACTTCTTGTATTTAAACTTTCTTTTGCATTAAAGCTGCCACCAACATAAGGTGTTTTGGGATTTAAAAAAAAAATTGAGGTGAACTATTTCCACTCCTGTCAACACTGCTCTTATCCCTGGCTCCCAAACAACTGTTTGTTGAGAGGCTTTTCCATAGCAACAGGATGTTAAAATTGCTAGAACTATCACAAAAGCTTGACAATGGAATGATGTACAGTAGAGACTTTGTTGAAAGTTAAATAGAATAGGATTTATTTTTAAAACAAACAACTAACCACTTCTGAGAGGTACAAAAAGCATGACTTGTTACAAAAGTACTTCAGCTTGATTGGTTGCTTGAACAGTTCTCTTCATTTTGTTCTAGACAGAGCTAACCAAACAGAACTAACTGTTGCTAACAAAACCCTCACTCTATTTCAGAGAATAGTGATGAGTCTGACTAGCCTATCTAGGTAGCCCCTGGGTTATTAACTATACCATAGAGTTCTTCCTGTTAACCATCCCAGCCTGGAGAGCCAATCTCTTGTGCTAACTCTCACAAGAGATCAGACTACTGTCTGACCTTTTCCCTATCAGCTCACAGCACTGTCTAACACAGACACCCTTTCAAAAACCCCTGATACTACTTTCTTTCCCTCCTCCGACTTGGCTCCTCCCAACTGCTCTGATCAATCCTAGGAGTCTCCCAACTCCTCCCCTCTTCCAACCATCCTCACTCAAGATGGCTGCCTCTCTGGCATTCCCTCCCAAAATGGAGGTCTGCCTTACTGTTATCCAGACTCCCTTTCCGGCCTGCCAGGTAAGATTCACCACACCCCGCCTCCATCTCCCCGAGGGGACTCGGGGCAGCTTACAAAGGGACAAGCCTGAAAATTACAGATTAAAACACACACATTAAAATAAAATTAACAAACAGCAATCAAATAAAAACATATCCCAATAACAGAACGCCTTCTGGGTTGTAGTTAAAGAAGTACTGCAAACTGGTTTTTTTTTTTTACAAAAAAAATACCTTACCACTTAGACCAGAGTTATTTCTACTGGATTTAGCTGATGGAAGTATAGAAACAAAAGACAGTTTCCAAAATGCAGTAACAGCAGACCACATTATTTATGCAAAAAAAAAAAATGGAAATTGGAAAAGATCCCTTCAGTGGATGATTCGTTACTAAAATTGATTCAATTGACAGAGATGGATAAACTCCCTTGTATATTGAAACACAAATCTATACAGAAATGTACAAATTTATGGTTCTAGGCTTTAACAATAACTGTTAGAAATGTTGATGAAACTAATGTGTCTCTTGCAGATAAAGGAAGCTTACGAGGGAAGCATCAGCCTCACAGCTACAGGTTACTTCAAGTAAGGAATCAATTCTTCTTTCCCACATTTTTAGCTGTGATAGTGTCACAAATGGTGGACTAGGATTTTGTCATTTAAAGGAAACTGAAATATGCTTCCAAATGTTCTTGTCATTAACCAAAAAAAGCCCAATTGCTATTGGATTTCATTATTTCTAATCCTACATAGACACATTCATTTGAGGTCTTTGAAAAAAATGTTGAGTATGCACAAACACTTGTTTGCACAAAAAAATTTTGTGCAAAAAGTTTCCAAATGCAAACAGTAGTCAAAAATCAACATAGACCTGCATAATTTCACCCAGCAAGTGTTCTTTCGTGGGGCAATGGAATAATTTCATGAGCAGATGCAAAATTTACATCCCTAACATGTGAAGACAAGAGGCTGTGTTGTTTCTACAGATGTCTGATACTTGTGTTAATGGATAATTCTACAGGGAGGTTCCTCCTTGGTGAATTCTTGCTGATGATTAGTGGTTTGGAACTTGGCAGGCTGAAGCCTGTAGTAGCCCAACTAAGCCATAGCTTGTGGAAGAGAGCTGATGACAGATTGCTCAAAGGAAGCCCCAGGAAGCAGAATTTATAGTTGCGTCGTAGCTCCTGCTTCACCAAATACCCTCTTTATCCTCTTCCAGATAATCTGGACACTGCTAAAGACTTCTAAGACAGGGATCTTAGGTCAGTATGCAACCTTAAAAAGGGGGTCTGTGGGGAAGGTACAGACTTGCAGCAGACCTGGTCCATGTAAAGAAAAGGCAGGGTAGGGAACAGAGAGTTTGTATGGAAAAAGGAGTGAGAGAAAGTACAGTAGACAAACCAGAGGAGGAGGATATGAGGTAAAAGGAAGAGGAGAGACCAAGAGAGAGTCCAGGACAGAAAGAACAGTAGGGGGAAAGTGTCAAAACTGCAACAACCCATCTTAAGAATGCCTTGGACCATAAGAAGATCAACCAGTCCATACTCCAGGAAATAATGCCCAACTGCTCACTGGAGGGAAGGATATTAGAGGCAAAGATGAAGTACTTTGGCCACATCATGAGAAGATGGGAAAGCTTGGAGAAGATAATGATGCTGGGGAAAATGGAAGGAAAAAGGAAGAAGGGCTGGCCATGAGCAAGATGGATGGATGTTATCCTTGATGTTATCCTTAAAATGGCTTGACCTTGAAGGAGTTGGGGATGTTGACAGGAAGCTCTGGCGTGGGCTGATCCAAGAGGGCACGAAGAGTCAGAAGTGACTGAACGAATAAACAACGACAAAATATAGTCAGCTTGGATGTGTCAGGATAAGTCATAACTATTTCCGAGGTTGGCAGTCTTCCAAATGTCTGGTTGAATTAACGAAACCCTCTGCATGTACAGTGTTCCCTCACTTATTGTGGGGGTTACGTTCCAGGACCTCCTGCAATAAGTGAAAAACTACGAAGTAAAGACACTATATTTATTTTAATATTTATACATTATTTTAGTAGTTATACACCATTTTAAGTCTTTATAAACTTAAAACAAAGTGAGGGAAAGGAAGGAAAGTCCCTTCAAAGCTGGAAGGAGGGAAGACTGATGAGGGAAAGTGCCCTGGAAAGCGGCGGCACCGGCAAAAACCTGCAAAACAGCAAAAATGCCGTGATATATATTTTAAATTAATATTTTTTGAAAACTGCAAAACAGCAAGTCCGCTAAAAGCGAACCATGAAGTAGTGAGGGAACACTGTAGTTCCAATCTTAGAAACAGTCTTTGGAAGGATGTAGCTCCTGTAATACCAAATCATGGTGTAAATGCCCCCATATCCTATTGAAGCACTGGGACCAGTTATTTTTTCAGTAGCAGTTACAACCCTCCAAGGTTTCATGTGCCGAGACTCTCCTGGTATCAAGGGTTGGGGTTTATTAAACAAGCACAAAGTGAACCGGGGCATATTTAAGAGTGAAGTAACATTGAATCTATTCTACTCCTGTTATATTCCAATAAACTTGTTACTGTTTTTTCTCAAGCCTTGCCTCAGATACAATTTATCTAAGTCAAACAGCCCTGTACAAGAAGAAGAGGGATCAAATTAGGGTTATTAAACGTAAGCCACGCTATCAAATAAGTAAAACCCCCTTAATTAGTGGTCCCTTGGCATTGAGCTCCTAAGTTGATATTGATAATTACACAGCTTCCTCACACCAACTGTATGATTCTATGGTTCTAATGGAAAAATATCATACCTGATAGATAAGTAGTCTATTATTGTATTCAAGGAATCACGATTTGAAACTAGACCTTTAGCATTCTAACCACTATACCACAGTGGTTTTCCCCGTGATGCTCTAGAAAAATCCAAAGCTACTTGCAGAGGAACAATATCAGGAAAATCAAAAATTCTTGGGTTAGACATTAGAGCATATCCAGCAACCACTAAGACTCATCTGAACCATTTAATGGCATGCACCTGGAAACCATGTGTTGAATCACTAGGTGCACCCCAAATCACTTTTCAAGAAATCTAACCTGTTCAGACTTTTTTCTGTGAATATTATAGCAAAGTTGAATTCCAACATTTGAAGGAGTCTTCCTTTTTTTTTCTCCCTACAGAGGCTATCGCACCAACATGGACTGGGAAAAAGGAGAAGGCCATGCAGTTCCATACTATGTTTTTGCAGCTGCTTGTTCTGAGGTTGAGATTGACTGCCTGACAGGTGACCACAAGGTAAAAAGGGGAAACTTTCCACTTCATTCCCTACTTCATAAGCTGCTTGATATTTCACTTTGTCTCTCTGCATGGCTTATTTATTGTGGTTACAGTCAATCACCACACTGTGGCACTATCTTTCCTTTGTAGTGGGATAGCATGCCTTTGTGAAACAAGAGGCTATGCTGACAGTAGTAGTGCTGCTTTTTGGGGTTTCCCTGGCAGGGAAACTCTCAGCAATTGGCATCATATTTAGCACTTGAGTAGAAAGGTATCCTTCCTCCCTCCCGCCGTGCTTTATCATGATTGACCGCAACTTGTCATGTGACCACCAGTTTGCCCTGCCTAACATTCACTGGTGCAAGACTGGCAAAGAGTTGGGTAGCCATGCAAAGGGCCAACTGTCCAACGGGCAGCAGCCAGATTACTAACTGGGGCGACATACAGGGGGCATACCACCTCCTGTTATGTCAGCTCCACTGGCTGCCAGTCCATTTCCAAGCTCAATTCAAAGTGCTGGTTTTGACCTATAAAGCTCTATACGGTTCTGGCCCAGCTTGCTTGTCCGAACGCATCTGCTGCTACATCCCACCTCGTAATCTAAGACCATCTGGGGAGGCCCTGCGTTTGGTGGGGATGAGAGATAGGGCCTTCTTGGCAGTGGCCCCTCGCCTGTAGTACATGCTTCCAAATGAAATAAGATTGGCTACTTCCCTCCTAGCTTTCAGGAAGAAATTGAAGTTGTGGTTTTGGGACCAGGCCTTCGGACAACAGATGTAATTTAGCACTTTGATTGGAAATTGACTGGAAAGGCACTACAGCTGATGATACTGTTTATTGTTTTTAATTAATGCTTTATGTACTGTTTTAATTATTGTTTTATGGATTTTAATTATTGTGGGATCATTGTAATTGTTTATATGTAGCAACATTGAATCATTACTAATTGTAAGCCGTCCTGAGTCCCTCTTCGGGGGTAGAGAGAAGTGGTTGGCTAGAATTGGGGACTGGGATTTGTAAAATCCAACCGTGAGCCACAAAATGCAATATGGATAGAATACTCATAGCCTGAATTACTATCTATACTCATATATAAGCCTAGAAATTTTAGTTTAAAAAAAAAACAATGCAAAAATGTGGACTGGCTTATTTTATTCTGAGTCTTTATAAATATTCCACCTTAACTTTTATCTCTCCCCCTTCTCTGAGTAGAGTGGTGAAAGGCAAGAGCTTAGTATGTCCCAGGAGAACCTAAAACAAGCACAGATCCCTTGAACTGTCTCCAACATGGCACAACTTTAGGGCTTTTGAATGCCTGGGCAGGGAAATGGAGATGGTGGCTGCCCCCCTGAGTCAGGATTGGCATTTTGCCTCCACTGTGGAATGACCCTCGACTTACTCACAAGCCCTTTGTTAACTGCCATGAGTCCCCCTGCGGAGGTCGAGATAGGACCGTATACAAATGTCCAAAATAAATAAATCAGCCATATCAAAATCCTTCTTTTGGGTCCTGAAACCTACCTTCGACTAATGCATAAGTATATATGGTAGTTCACAGGGTTATTGTGAAGATAAAAAGGAAGACTAGAAAAACAATCTTACTGCCTTCAGTTTACTGTAGGGAAGACAAGATGCACATTAACAAAGAAGCAAATGAAATAATGTTTTCTTACTATAAATGTGCTCATGACAGTTTATTTCTGCAACAGAACATCCGCACAGACATTGTCATGGATGCCTCTTTCAGCATCAATCCAGCTGTAGACATAGGCCAGGTATGTAACCATAAGTTCTGCGTGCACACATTATACTCAATCTGAGTAAATAGCTCAGTTTTCCAAAAAAAAAGTCAAAGAGCTGAACCCCACTTGCATTTAGTTCAGTGCTTATTCCCAGAAGCCTTGAATCGTAACCTCATTTTATTTGTGGGGTAGGAAGCTTGGCCACTTTCTGAACAAGAAAATAGCATTTCAGAAAGAAACAAGGGCAGGTTGAGTCTCCCTTATCTGAGGGTCTTCTAGACAGTGTCAAAATGCAGGACAAATAAGTGTGGGACCTGACACAAGTCCAAAAACATACATGTCAATCCCAGTAAATGTTCCCTCATTGCCCTGACACCTTCATTTGTAGTGGATTTTAGAAATCTGCAAATTGTACCAGGGACATCCAGCAGAAGTTTACTTTTTTTGTTGATGCTCTGAGATGCGCTGGACCTCATATGCACTCATACAGATATCTAAATGTACACACAAGCAGATTTCTTATTATCTCTCTTCACCCTACTGTAGATTCAAGCTCTGTTTAATTTCATAAAGATCAGAACAAAGGAATGCTTGCAAAGTTCTCATTGTAATTGCTTTCCATTTGTGCTTTCATTTAGCCATCTGTGTGTCCATGATTCCATTTATTTGCAGCCCAGATCAGCTGTTTTCGGATTTTAAAATGCACACATGCTCTGGAGCAGTCCACACCAGGGTTTTCCTTGACTGTGGGGATATACAGTCGTTGGAATATTATTGGATTTTTGGGTTTTAAGCTCACCTTTTTAATATGTGATTTTCAACTGTTAATCCAAATCAGTGCGCATTTTCATGAAATGTCATTTAGCCACCCCCCCCCCCCTTTTATCCTGGTTTCTTCTGCATTTTAGAGCATGTGTAGCAGCGCCTTGAAATGCTTTTGATCAGAAGTTTTTCCAATTTTGGAATTTTTTGGACTTTGAAATACCTGTATTTGCATACAAACACACACACTCACACAAAGAGTGAACAAAGAACAAGAGGGAATGAGAGCTAGTCATGAGTACCTACTGCGCTTTTCCTCAAGGAGCCCTTGCTCCACCACTGTCAGAAATTCAATGCGGGAAAGAGAAAAGGAGGAAGGGGTGGAGGAGGACTCTGCTTGCACAAGGCCCCTATAAAAAGCAGATACCTCAGATGTGTACTGGCTGTCAGGATACAGTTGTGCCCTTTTAACAAAGTAGCCAGTAAGAATGGAAGAAACTATTCCCCACTGCACTGCCACTCTCCTCTGAGTCTTTTTCATTCTCCCTAGGATGGTGTCCCACTACACCAGCTTTTCTCAACCTGGGGGTCGGGACTCCTGGAGGGGTCACAAGGGGGTGTAAGAGGGGTCACCAAAGAACATCAGAAAACAGTATTTTCTGTTGGTCATGCAGATTATGTGTGGGAAGTTTGGCCCAATTCTATAATTTGTGGGGTTCAGAATGCTCTTTGATTATAGGCGAACTTTAAGTCCCAGCAACGACAACTCCCAAATGACAAAATCAATATTTAGAACCCTCCACCAACCCCACCAGTATTCAAATTTGGGAGTATCAGATATTTGTGCCAAATTTGGTCCAGTGAATGAAAATCCATTCTTCATATCAGATATTTACATTATAATTCATAAATTACATTTATGAAGTAGCAATGAAAACAATTTTATGGTTGGGGTGTCACCACAACAGTAGGAACTGCATTAAGGGATCGTGGCATTGGGAAGGTTGAGGACCACTGCACTACACTGTTGGCCAGATAGAGGGCAAGCATGGAGGTATCTATCTAGGACTTACTTTTTAATGAATAATAGTACAACCCAATTGTACTCAATCAACTCAGTGCCCAGGCTTGTGCACCCTGGCATCATGGGATTCAACTGAATTGCTTTGGTAAGCAAACCTATTGTCTAATCATCCCTGCATGCAGTGCAGACGTCTAAACAAACCAAAGACTATGGTTTGTCTCCTTTTATATACAAGCATTGCAGAAGTATGGCTTGAATTTGATGTTTGTTTTAAGGTTTTCTTCTCTGGCTTCTTGGAGAAATACATCCAACTATTAACCACTGTTGCATTTGGATATCAGAAGAAGCAAACCATAGACCAACATCCATTGTTTTTTAGCCACTTAAGTGCCAATGGAAACAATCAGAAAATGTGAGCCAGTGCACTGGGACATCCGTGCTAAGCCATAGAGCAGGGGTCCTCAAACTAAGGCCCGGGGGCCGGATACGGCCCTCCAAGGTCATTCACCCGGCCCTCGCTCAGGGTCAATGTAAGTCTGAAATGACTTGAAAGCATACAACAACAACAACAATCCTATCTCATCAACCAAAAGCACGCCCACACTTCCCATTGAAATACTAATAATTTTATATTTGTTTAAAATGTTCTTCATTTTAATTATTGTATTGTTTTTAAGTGTTTTTTGCACTACAAATAAGATATGTGCAGTGTGCATAAGAATTCATTCATTTTTTTTTCAAGTTTTGATATTCTAGTAAAATTAGAATTAAGACATTTTTATTCCCTCAGATCGAAGGTGGATTTATTCAGGGGCTTGGACTTTACACCATGGAAGAATTGAAGTTTTCTCCTGAAGGAGAGCTGTACACACTGGGTCCAGATACATATAAAATTCCTGCTGTCTGCGATGTCCCAGAACACTTTAGAGTCTACTTGCTGCCAAATTCCAGAAACCCAATTGCAATCTACTCCTCCAGGGTAAAGAAATTTGGTCTGTGCATGATGCAATGTTCTTGAATGTTTCTTCTATTCAATATTGTGCAATTACAGAGAATTTATATTAGGCATAAAGCATTTCTAATCAAGCAGAGGCTTGGAAACAAAAAAATTGTCTGATATTCTGGACTGGCATTGAAACAAATAATGGAGGCCCCTTAAAGCCACTCTTTATGAAAACATCAATGAATATTCTGCAGTCCCTTTTGTCATCTTCCTTATTCGATTAATTTCCTATTGTTTTAGATTTCAGCTCTGAGCTGAACAAAGCAAGGTGGAGCTGATGGGAGCTGTTGGCAAAAACAGTTTTGAAGGAAGCAGATTAGTGAAGGCTTTAGTGACAAGAGTATATTCTGCCCTACGTCCAAACTGGATTTTAAATTAAATGTGGCCATTTCAAGGTCTTTCTATTTACCCCAGTTGTTGTTTTTCTGAGAATGTCTCTGTGTGTCAGTTATAGAGCTGGTTAAACTCTTTTTGACATACAAAAAAACTTCAATAAATAACTTTCATACTTTTTTCTGGGAAGAGAAATTGCTACATACAATAAGAACCATCATCTTTGATTGATACACTGTGAATGAAAATAACATGATATAGAACATAACTTAGACAATAAGAAATGTAACTGTGTAATTATATGTATTTACTCAAAACAGAGTTTGGAAAAGTTACTTTTTAACAACATCTTCCAACCTCCCTGAGCAAGCATAGCCACTAGTAGAATATTCTGGGAGTTTTAGGAAAAACATAGTTCTTTTCAATTTCAAAATTAGAAGTAACCTCTACAGAGTATAATCAAATTTATCTCAGAGCCAACTTAGTGCCGTGGCCTGTTAGACTCTGAGATGCCAGCGTTCGAATCCCTGCTCAGGAACTTTAAGGGCCTAAACTCAAATGATTGCACATGTAGAAGTAATACATCCCCCCCCCCCTTTTTCCTATGTGTCTCCTATCATCCTACAGGGTATGGGAGAAGCCGGAGTGTTCCTCGGATCCTCGGTGTTTTTTGCTATAAGGGATGCAGTGGCTGCTGCCCGGAAAGAGCGAGGACTAAATCGCAATTTCACCCTGAACAGCCCTCTGAATGTAGAGAGGATTCGCATGGCCTGTGCTGACCGCTTTACCAAGATGGTAAAACTTTTCCCCTTACAGAAATCCTTCCTCAATTATTTGGGTTTTATTTAATTTCTCTGGTATTTATTTATTTTATTCATATACTTCGTTTAATTGGGCTTGGCCCCATGTAAGCCACCCTGAGTCCCGTTGGGAAGATGAAGGCAGGGTATAATAATAAAGTTATTATTATTATTATTATTATTATTATTATTATTATTATTATTATTATTATTAGAAACACCACAAGATGAGTCCACAGCAGACACTCTGCTGGCTGTTGTACTGGATCACATGTCGGGCATTTCCCACGTGTCTAGGACTGTGTGATGTATCGGCAAATAATGCGTGCAGATCCCAGTAAGGTGGCCTTCTGCAGCTGGCAGATGGTAATCTTGTCAGTGCCGATTGTGTTTAAGTGCAGGCCAAGGTCTTCAGGCACTGCACCCACACTGGCTGATCACCACTGGGACCACCTTGACTGGCTTGTGCCAGAGTCTTTGCAGTTCGATCTTTAAATCCTCATATCGTGTCAGCTTTTCCAGTTGTTTCTCTTCAATCCTGCTGTCACTTGAGATTGCAACATCAGCAATCTATACTTTGTTTTTTAACATGATCGTCAGGTCAGGAGTATTGTGCTCCAAAACTCTGTCAGTTTGAATTCAGACATGTTCATTCTCTGTAACTTTTTCCGGCTTGTGAGCCCACCAGTTCTTTGTCGCAAGCAGATGGTATTTGTGGCACAAGTTCCAATGAATCACGGTGTTATGCCTCTGCGTGTAGTCTGTCTGTGCAATCTTCTTGCTTATTATTATTATTATTATTATTATTATTATTATTATTATTTATACAGGACTCAAGATGGCTTACAATCCCACACTTAGATCATAGTTTTAAAAGTCAAGTACAAACATTAAAAAAAACAATTAAATAATACAGTGTGGATTAAAGTAAAAAAACAACAAAGTAAAATAAAATAAATTACTTTAAATGGCCTTTAAAATTCACAACCTACCCACCCCTGCAAATCCAGCAGCATGTCCCTTATCCTTTCCTAAATGCCTGCTGGACTGATTAAAATCAAGTTTCAAGAGATGCTTATGGAAATACTTCAAATTAACTTGCAAATACCCTTCCCTGCCTGTTTCTGGGGCATTTCTTGCACTTACTTTGTCAGGCCTCCTACCAGTCACTGGTGTATGCTATAAATATATGCAGCAGAAGATCACTGAATGTTCTGCAGCAGATAATTGTATGCCTTAATATGCAACTATGCTATAAGACAATCTCCCTTTTTCTTTCCTCTTTAGATTCCAAGGGACATCCCTGGGACCTATGAGCCATGGGAGATCCAAGTGGACTAGTGCTCTGTGTTTCGGTCTCAAAATGTGTGAGGTTATTATTGTTTTACTCGGAACTAAGTCCCATTGGTTCCTGCATACACAAAAACCTGTGCATAGAATTACATCCTTAGTAAGCTGTTGATTCCATGTATGAAGAACCAAAAAAATCTTCCTTACATACTAGTGATTCAAACTGTGATTTAAGTATTGAAAATTGAATTCTTCAGGGAACCTTTACTGTAATGACATTATACATCAAAATACAATGCAATAAAATATAACTAGGAATATATTTTACTGAAAACCATAAAAGCGCGGGGTGGGGCACACACACACCAATAAGATAGTTATCAAGCAGGTGCAGAGAAAAGGGTAACATTCCCTGATATATTTCAGAGTAAAGATTTTTTTTGTTGCTGTTGTATGTTAGGCTGTACAATTTAGCAAACAACAAACCAAGTGAGAAAGATTTCTAGATTTTTGTGGAAAATCAAAGCATTCTGCAGAAAGACTATTTTTTTGCTTTTGGTTATTAATTTCCATGTTTCTGATGTCCAGATTGTCTCTTATTGCAGAAAACACAGGTCCCATCACTAGAGGAAATGACAACAATAAAATTGGACAATCTTGTTTGGTATCTCTGGGAAAGAAAACAAGTTGAGTGGCATCTATTGGCACAATAGACACATCCACAGTGTGTGATACGTCACAAAGTTTTGCCCAAAAGTTCTACGTTACCTGCCAAGCTTCAATGGCATTTTGAAACTCTTATTGGCTTCACAAATAAAATTGCAGACTATTTCAAAAGAAACCATGGCAAACTCCATGCAGATTAGACAAAATGTATATCTCATGCAAAGACAAATAACAAGAATGCACTGAAAGTATCGTACTTGGTGGTTAGTCATGACCTGGCTCTTGCTGGTAAACCTCACATCCTTGCTGAAACTCTTATAAAACTACTGTTAGTGAAATTAGTGAAGTGCATGGTGGACAAAAAAAAAAATGCAGACTTGATCTTCAGTGTGCTTTTATCAAATAACACTATGTATAATTGAATCCAGGATCTATCAAACAGTTAAAAATACTATAATTTCCCGTATCAGTCAAATAATTTTTTTTGCTACAACCGGTTGAACCCATTGACGTTGTCGGATTAGCTGTGCTAATGATGTTTGTGCGGTACACATTTTCAGGTTCTTTTCGTGAAGATATTTGGTTCTGCAAGCTATTTCCATTAACTACAAAGAGAACAAGTATGCATGAGTGATTTTTCCCCTGCTTGATGCCTTCTTCATTGAAAACCCAATAAAAGTAACTAGAAGGCCCCCAGTTGACCAAAATGATTTAACATATAGCCAATTGTTAATCCTCATCTATGTTTTTAAAAACATAAATTAAAGTGAGATATTTTATGACTCCAACAAGAATTCTTGTGTCTTTGTGTCTTTAATATTTTAAAAGTATGCAAAGCTGCAATACTTAAAGGTTGATGGCAGAAAACACGTATTTGCACAAAGTTGAACTTTTATTTTGAATAGCTGTTGTGTTTCTTGGGAAAAACAACCCTAACCAATAGAATTACAGAAATTTTTTTGGATCAGTAGTTTTTCTGATAAAACAAATTCCTAACATTTAAATAAAGCCCTGAAATTGAGGGACAATGTTTACAACTCTTCAGATGATTATGATATATGATAAAACACCTATCTTCTTGTTTTAGTTCCATGAGAATTGTGCAAGCTAGCATGTTCAAGGGCCAAAAACATCCTCTCTTCACAACTAGAGGTGTGTCTCCTGTCCTTGTTATAATAGCAAAAACCTATTTCCTATCTAAGCCCAAGACTCCCCCTGAGAAGCAGGCATTAGTTGTACTTTGATTTTTGTTTGTTTATTTGTTTCTGTGTTGTACAAACCTTGGGAATCTATATTCTATTTGGCCTTGGGTTGAGAAGGCATATCCCAGCCCAGTCACCCCAAATACGAGTTTTTTATTTTTTTAGAGTACGTATTTATGCCCTGGACGTCAGCCACAACAGCTCTCAGAGCATCTTACAAATTGATAATGTAGTGGTTCCATGCCTTCAGATCTGCAATCTAAATAAGACAGGAAACAAAAGGAGAAAGCAATGGGGAGGGGCAGGTCCGTAGCCAGGATTTTGATGGGGGGGGGGAGGATCTACCCTAGCAAACCTTTTGTATCATTGTCCCAATACCCCCATGCATATGGGATATATTGAGCATGGTGATCAGATCATGATATGTTTAAATAATGTACCAGTAAGGCCTTCTCGCAGACCACCCTGAGAATTTGGGGGGGGGGGGCTGAAGCCCCTCAAGCCCCCCCCCCCCCCAGCTACAGACCTGGGGAGGGGAATAAGTCCTGCAGATACTGTCTCTTCATCTCTCAGAGACCAGAGCACTAGCTGGTGGAAATGTGCCTGCATCTTCTCTCCTTCCAAGGCCAGGGACATCATTCCATGGAGTGGAGCGGAGTATCATTTTACCGTAGCTTTATGTCCCGTTGCATTAGAAAGCAAAATTGTATCAAGTCTCAAATCCCATCATACGGTTCCAGTTTTGTTCTATCACCCACAGGCATGTAGTGGTATCCCAAGTTTTGGCTCCAAATGAATACCACAAAATGAAACATTGCCATACTCATTCAAAATTCATAATACCAAAAAAACTGATCAAATTTTTGACTGTTTAGCCTTGAAAAAACAAAAGTCTTACAGTGTCTTACCATGTAAGGACATATCCTTATAAAAAAAACCCCTCATGATTATTGTTCTTTTTTGGAGGGGTGTGTGTGATGGAGTAGAGAGATGTTTTTTACACTGACTGTGTATTTATTTACATAGTGAACGTTGTGATTACAAATTCTGGGCTTTGAGGTGAAAACAACAAACAACGCACAAGGGGATTCCAGGTTTCCATGCGAATGTTTGCATTTTTGCTGTTAGTATTTTCGACTGCAATATTTTATTTTATTGAATTCAAATATAAAGGGAGATTGAGGTTGTTTAGTCTAGAGTTGCCAGAGTGAAATATGGAGATGGTGCCCATGCCTCTAACAGCTGTGCCAAGAGAGATTTTTAGCAGGTGTTGCTTGCAAATCTCAGATAATGTTGTGGGGGATGTATTTGAAGCCTGGAGATGGCAAACCTTCTGGGGTTTGTGTAGGAGAACAAGTATGCATGAGAGAAACAATGCCCACGAGGGAAAGAACAGTTGGGGCACCAGAAAGACAAGAGTAATCCAAGGAGAATGTCTGAAATGCAGGGACAGGAAGCAGACAAGCTGAAAGAAAAACACAAAGAGAAGGCATGGGCAAACTTTTTAGAAAGGGGGCCACATGCCTGGCCAGGCTGGGCGGGCCAGAAGAGACAGGGGAATCCAAGAGGGATGAAGGGGAGAAGCCAGAGCGCAGTTGGTGGAGGGGGAAGAAGGCTGGAGAACATTTTATGTGGGGAGAAAGTCAAGAGGGTTGTTGGTGTGGGGAAGAGAAAGCTGGACTGGGGGGAGGGTCTTGACCGACGGCTTTGCAAGACTCCTGGGAGAGCTTATCTGTAAGAAAGAAAGAAAAAAGTCAATTCTGGCTTTTAAACAACTCATTGAAATAGGAATGTTTGATCCCATAAGCCTCATTGACCTTGTACTCTCTACTTACTGAATGAGGCCAAAAGTCGAAGCCAGGAGTTGTAACAATGCGAGCACTGCTGCTACCTCCACTCACTTACAAAGCAGTGATTGTGTAGAAGCTCACTGCTTCAGTCCAACTGATCAGAGGCAAAACTCTGTCAGAATGAAAGAAAAATATTATCCAGGACCAAAAAATAAAACACAGTGAGCAGGCATGTAGCCGGGGGGGGGGGGGGGCTTGGGGGGCTTCAGCCCCCCCCCCCCCCCGAAATTCTCATGGTGGTCTGTGAAAAGGCCTTACTGGTACATTATTTAAACTGTTATGTTTATTCATATCATGATCTGATCACCATGCTCAATATATCCCATATGCATGGGGGTATTGGGGTAACAATACAAAAGGTTTGCTAGGGTAGACCCTCTTTCACTCAGACTCAGCCCCCCCCCCCATCAAACTTAGCACACCTCGAAACAAAATCCTGGCTACAGGCCTGACAGTGAGATAGTTAAGTCTTGTCCTTCTAAGAACCTAACCATTTTTCTCTCTTAACAATCTGAAGTTTAAACCCACATGCAGCACTTGTATAGACTAGCTTGTACAAGAGGCCAGTAATTCAGCACAAGTTCCACCAATGGGGTCCCAGTGTTCAGGGATGCTGCCCTGCAAGAATGAACGAAAAGGCCCAAGACAGACTTTTGAAACAACACATTGTAATGCACATATTTAATCCCATAAAACACATTGAATGAGGCAAATAGTCAGAATCAGGAATTGTAACAACGAAGACACTGTCAAGTCCACTCACTAGTACGTCAGTGACCCTGAAGAAGCCCACTGGCTCAATTAGGTTGACTACTCTGTCAGAAAGAAAAAAAATGTCTCCATCAAGGCCCTTTAAGAAAGCAGAAGCAATAAAGTTAAGTCCGACCCTTCCAATATTTAACCTTGCCTTCTCTCCTAACAAACTTAAGTCAAAAGCAACCTGCAGCAGTTGTATAGAGGTAACTCCCACGACGGTCAGCCAGCTATTGAGCAGAAGTTCTGCCAATGGAATCCAAGTGTTCAGAAGGCTAATCTGCAAGGGGGAAAAGCCCTCTCCACACAAGCCTTTAAATAACACATTCAAATGTGTTTGTTTGATCTCACACTGATACAACCCCCTCCTTTCACCTCAGCCACTGAGATCAGTGTCTACAGGAGTTTTGCAGTAGTCACTTCTACCACCACTCAGTTTAGACTCATAGCTTGTAAACTTTAGTAGCTTGACGACGAATCCTTCCTGGTTCCCAGCATTTGGGATCTCACCACTCTGCATTAAGAAAGACTCAAGCACAATGAGCCCGCTGGCATTCAATTGTTTGTTTGAAGCTTTAAGATACATGTGTCAAACTCAAGGTCTGC